CATATGATGGAATAGTTTCATGACTGATTGATTGATTCTTTGTGTTGTGGTGAATCTCTAGAACTTTTGGGTTTTTCTATTTCTTGTTTAACGCCGCGCTCAGCAACATTCCAGCTATATGACGGCGGTCTGTATATAATGAAGTGTGGGCCAGACAGTCCAGTGATTGACATCATGAGGATTGATCCACGCAATTGGGATACGACATGCATCAACCAAGTCAGTGAGCCTGACCACCCTATCCCGTCAGTCGCCTCTTACGACAAGCATTGTCACTTTTTACTGCAAGCATGGGTTGCTGAAGACATATTCTAACCCGGATCTCAATAGGTCTGTACAATCTCATTAAAATGAGATCTTAGTTCTCGCTACTGCTAAACAAAGATCTGGTCACGTCAGAACGACCTTTCATCCGACCAATCAGTGCGTCGCTTAGCAGATTATGAAAGTGACAGTCGGAATGTGATTTCTTAGCATGCAATCTCGAAAACTTTAACATGGGGTATTCCGAACGATAGTTACAGGTTTAACGACTGAATCCTTGCAGTCTAGACCATCTATTAGCCATTCCAGAATGTTTTTTTGTTCAGGTTTCAAATTTGTAATCGAGAATTTGTCAAAATATCTTTCGAAGCGTAGTCGCCAATTTGAAATTTGTGTCGTAAAGCACGAGAAAGTTGCCATCTGATTGGTCATTCCATTGGTCGGTCAAGGTTCGCGCAAGGTCGTTGTGACGTGACCCGTAATGGGATGTCCTCAGATCTTTGTTTAGCAGTAGCGAGAACTAAGATATGATTTTATTCATATTACAGGTCTGTATGACTTGAAGAGGCTTGAACATGTTCTGCAAGCTGAAAGTGCAAGCCAATAAACAGCCTTGCGAGCAATTTAGAGAACAAAGATTAAGGTTTCATTGAGGCCTGGTTATGAGTTTCCAGAAATTTAATTGTGGACACTCGGAGAAATTGACTAAATATGATGCAACATTTGTCAATATGATGCTATCCCATGCTATGATCTCCACATTGTTTTCACTCCTTCTCACTCATTTACTTTTCAGTGAAAATTATGTTTGGTGGGTGCTATTGTTGAGCAGGCCATGATTATCCTTTTGGCAAACACTTGGTGTCATCACTTATTTTCAGTGAATGATTTACATGTTTTTTTACTATTTTGGCTTTTGCACCCTATGTAATCTGTTTTGGCAGATATTCAAGACTGTTACCAAATGAAATATATACAGCGTATCATATGTTCACCATGTTTGTGTGCGAGATATCAGCAGGGTAAATTTCATACCAAACAAGATTCTATTTTGACAGTTCTTTTATTTATTTCCGTATTACAATTTATAGTCTATGTCCTACCTGCAGTAGATCTTACAATATGTCTACAAAGAGACATGCAACTGTTTTACATTCGAGTGTTCACACAAAGAACATATACTGTATTCGACGTAATAAGCGCCCCGCTCTAATAAGCGCCCACGGCGATATTTGCTAATATATTGGCTAGTGAACAATCCCAATTAGCACCTCTTCCGATTGATCAATGTTCTCAAGACCGATTTATTCGTGTTTAATACGCACTAGTGTGTAATATGCACCCTTAATTATGGGCAGTTAAATTCTGGAAAAATATATCTGTCGTATATAAACATTTCAGGCTGTCAGCTTAAACTACAGAATTTATCTTTCAACTGTTTTTTTTCACCAAAATAATATTCTAATAAGAGCCCCCTATTTCTAATTTTGAGAGCGCCCTGGGCGCTTATTACGTCGTATACCAAATTCTGAGATGGGTAAATTCGTCATACACCATATTTTGACACTGTCTGTAGGCATACAGGGATGAAAATGTTCCATGGATTTTGTTGCATCAAGGGTCACTTTTGTGATACATACCATTATAATATACGCATCACTCAGTTCTAGACCTCCAGCTAACTCAATTGTTTTTTATTCAAGAAAACAAGCCAAAAAATGAGCAGGGCTCACTAATACCCCCAACCTTGGTTCTGACCTCTCCTATTGGTATAGAAACTGTACCCCCAATTGAAAGGGGCCATGAAATAGTTTTCAAGTTATAGGTCGCACAAATGTTGAAGTAAAGAAAATTGAAAGTTCAAAACTTGAGAACAATCATCTTTTTTCCCAGATGACACATGTCATGTATCTAAATATGTTTTGCCAGGGCTATGCTAAAATTTTCCCAATCGGACATTTTGAGACATCTCCTGAGACCTACAGTGGGTACCCGGGTAGGATGGGGTAATAGGGGGTTGGGTACCCGAGTAGTAAAGTTGGACTCGTCCTAGCCCTAGATGTAGTAGAGTAAAATGTTTATGACTTCCTCCCACCCAAGCCTTGCAATTGGTGCCAAAGATATTGAAGGGCTATTTCATGTGGGCATAGGAAGTTTTAATGTACTGGCTGTGAATCATCCATTATTGATTCCCAGCCCAACCAAGGCCTTATCAGTGATGCCAAAGACATTGATGAAGATTCAGGGGCCCCACTGAGGGTGCTTTTCCAGGTTGGCTTATACAGTTTTCATATTGTCTTATTCATGTGCATTCACTTGAAAGTTCTATTTATTTTCTCTTTTTGCATTTATTGGCTCTTACTAATAAAATATTTTAAGCAGTTTGTCTTTGTCTGTTGTTGAAATTATTAAATGAAAAATTTGTGTCCCGATGAAATATTTGTATGTTAATGTGTGTGGTTCGGTCTTCATCAACCATTGCTTGTCGTAAGTGGCGACTTACGGAATTGGTTGTTCAGGCTTGCCGACTTGGATGATGCACGTCATCGTATCCGAATTTTGTGGATCGATGCTCATGGTGTCAATCACTGGATTATCGGGTCCAGACTATTATTTACATATCGCTGGCATTAAACAAAAAGCAAATATTTAAAGCTACACCCAGCTGCATGTTTGAGTGACAATAATCGAGTCTGGACTATCCAGTGATTGATATTGTGAACAACAATCCACAATGTCTGTACGATGATACATCAACAAAGTCACAGAGCCTGCCTGACCACCTGATCTGTTTGGTTGCCTCGTACGACCAGTGAAGATTGAAGAATTGATCTTCAGCAACCCATGCTTGCTGTAAGAGGCATTTAACGGGATCAGGAGGACAGACTCGGTCGATGCATGTCATCGTATCCCATTTGCATAGAACAATGCTGATGATGTCAGAGGATTGTCTGGTCCAGACTCGATTATTTACAGACCGCCGTCATATAGCTGAGTGCGGCATTAAGACAACAAACAAAACATCTTACTTCCAGCATAGGTTGCTGGGGACAAATTCTAACCCGCAATCCCAACGTGCTGTGAGTCAGTGTTTAACACCACAGTCAGCATGTAACTGAATCTGTTCCAGACAAACCAGTAGCTGAATCCACTGTTGGGGTAAGATTGTTCACAATCAGCATGGACAGGCATTGTAACCGTTTGGCGTGACCCAGTCAATACGACCTCTGCTAGCACTGACCGAAGTCCATAGTGGACCTAATTTCATGGATGAAATGGAATTATCATCATACATCCTGGTGGTATTCATGGACAATAAGCAACTGTTCAAATGGCATCCATTTGCATTTTGTTTACACACGTTCAAAAGTCGAATAGTATGTGATGTGGCATCAAATGTATCCATTCTTTTGAGTACGTTACCTTGGTTACAGCCTATCTGATTCACTTGTCAAGTAGGCAAGGATTGGAAACAAGGAATGGCCTTGAAAACATATTGCTCTATATTTTCTCAAATTTTTTTTGTAAAATATTTAACTGTCAGGGATGAGGATCTTCAAAAATGAGTAGCACAAGTACCTTGTAAGCAAACATTGAGTGAACATTCCACATTTGTTTTGAAAAGCTCACAGAATTTTAACCTCACTACAGGGTTTTACCTTGTCTTACAAAGTGGGGATTCAGGGAACACCCAATAATAAATATAAATGTCCTTGCAGGCAATATGAGGATCCTGTAAAGTAATGAAATTGTGGTCTACGTTTTGATAATTACTTTAGAGCCTGTAATGAATCAATGATATGTGGACAGTGGTCATGATTGATGGGTGAAATAACACACCTCTTACTGCTCTTGATGCACTGTAGGTACAATGAATATTATTGTGCGTCCCCTGGGACGCAGTATATGCTTTTTCTGCGTCCAATCTGAACATTTTTGTATCACGTAAAACCTTGTCATAATGTCCTTCAGACAGGACAGGGAGTCACAGAATTGTCATACCATAAACATGGCCACGTATTTTGCTGCATAAACTCAGAATATTCCAGAAACGGCAACTCTGCATTTTGGAACTTACAGTTGACAATATTGAGATTTGAAACTCTTACGGACCATACTGAGAAATTACTTTCCTATAATAGACAAGCAAATAATATACGTCAAATCAGCTGTTTTGAAACAAATTCCTATGATTGTGGCGTGAAACCTCTGATATACCAATCAGAAAAAAGTATGTACCAAAGTAATGGAAGAATGAGAAGTTGAGAGAATTCTGAATAACACAAATTGAGAAGCTTCAGTCAGCCTTCCTCATTTTAAAGTCATTTTACGGTGTGTCCTTGTATGTATCACTATTTGGGGCACTAAATGTTACATACTAACCAGCGTCCCTGACATTGCAGTCAACATTCCAACCATATCATGGCATTCTGTAAATATCCGAGTCTGGACCAGGTACATCAGTGACTTGAAGGATTGAGCAATGAAAGTAAGAACGTCACGGGTACCTATTGAGTGAGTGAGCATGGTTTTACGCCGCTTTTAGCAATATTCCAGCAATATCACGGTGGGGAACACCATAAATGGGCTTCACACACTGTACCAATGTCGGGAATCGAACCCGGGTCTTCGGCATAACGAGCGAACGCTTTAACCACTAGGCTACCCGACCGCCCGTACCTATTATGAAGGTCGATGAGCAATATTGACTGTGTAAATCAATCCCAAGACAAAAGTCAAGATTTCAGTATTTTATACATAGCATTTTATATATAAAGCGATGACATGATCATATATCAAACAATGTACAATGAAATGTTCCAAGTTTCACAAAGATTAACAAACATGACCAGTTTGTATAGTCATTCATACATTTTCATTTGACATCCTTGCTTGACACCATCACAATTAGATTTGAAATCTCATCAGTTCACTATGAAGGCTTCGTCGTAGGTGATATTCCTTCCAAGTAAGAAGCAGTAAGAAGCCAGTTGCAACGATCAGACCTAAGACTGTGTGTGTAGTATAGACCAGTCAACAAGCTGTTGCTTTCAAACTGAACTAAGTCCACAAAAGCAACAGAACAATGACTCTAGAAATCCAGAGATTTTCATTATAAATAACCAGTCAGGAACAGCATGTTGGGCTCTCCTGGACGATACAGCACTCATACATTGGTGTGAAGTCTTCTCATTCATCATAGTCGGGATTCTTCCTCAGGACAACAAAACCTTCCATGATGGGTGTGAGGGGAAGATCTTACATGGGTTAAGGAAATAATGATCAGGCTGTTTTTGACAGTGTATCAGTCACATCTTTAGTCAGTTTAAAGTATAGGAAAGTCCCATATGATACAGGGCCCAATTTCAAAAACAGGGTTAGAAACTAAAAGTTTTTGTCCACTAGTCCTTATAATGATAACATATAGCAAAACCCTTAAAATGGGCCAATTTCTACTCGTCCTTAGGATACCTTTACTATTGGGCAGTTTCGTAAGGACTACAGGACTAGTGCCCATTTCTAACGCTGAAAAAGTGATCTTAGTGCTAAGATGAGTACATACTTTAACATAGGCTTACCGTATTCGACGTAATAATTCGCTCTAATAAGCGCCCACGGCGATATTTGCTAATATATTGGCTAGTGAACAATCCCAATTAGCACCCCTACCGATTGATCAATGTACACAAGACCTATTTATTCGTGTATAATACGCACTAGTGTGTAATATGCACCCTCAATTATGGGCAATTAAATTCTAGAAAAATATATCTGTCGTATAAAAACATTTCAGGCTGTCAGCATAAACCACGGAATTTATCTTTCAACTCTGTTTTTTTCACCAAAATAATATTCTAATAAGAGCCCTATATTTGTAATTTTGAGAGCGCCCTGGGCGCTTATTACGTCGAATACGGTATTTGTTTTGTTGCTTTTATTATCATAAAGGTCATAGCACCAAGATTGCTTTGTGGAACTGGGAGCCGTTGTAGAAAGCGATCTTAGCGCCAAGGTGATTGTAACTCCCATACCTTAAAATAGACTTATGACAGTCGTAGTGCTAGGGTTGTTTTGTACAATGGCACCCTGGACCAGATCAGGGTGTTGTTGTACAAGACAACCTTAGCCCTACGATGATCATAAGCCTATGTTAAAGTATCGGAGTTACGATTACCCTAGCACTAAGATCCCTTTGTACAACGACACCCTGGACTGGGACCATAGTAGAGGTAAATATGGACTGCGGAATGAGTGAGTGAGTGAGTGAGTGAGTTGGGTTTAACGCCGCTTTTAACAGTATTCCAGTTATATCACGGCGTGTCAGCTTAATGTGGGAGGAAAGCCCGAAGTGATGCAGGTCTCAGACGTTTACCACTTCGGTGAAACCCACGAGCACGGGTATGGTGCTGACAAACCTAGAAACATAATCAGGGCGAACCGGGATTCGAACCCACAATCATAGGTTTCTGGCTTGCCCAAGGGACGCAACTCTGCACAGCGAATCGCGGCGCCTTAGACGACTGGGCCACCCGTGCCCCCGACTGCGGAATGACAAACAGTACATCCAAAAGTACCTTGCACCAAACAATCTTAGCATTAAGGCTATTGAAATTACTATGATTAAACACACGCTTACAATAACTGTAGGGCTACCTTACCTTTGTGCAAGAGAGTCCTGGTAGCAAGGTACACAATGCTGCACAGCAAGTTGTAGTGCATAAAATCAACTGATCAAACCCTTAAGTCAAGAACTTGCATGACAATATTCCAAGAACTCCTGTCATTTGGTAATAAAGGATACATTCATCTGTGGCCAGCTCTGCCCTCTCTCCATATGCCAGCAACACTGGTGTGGTGTGTGTCTGGAAGCCAGTGATTGTCTTCGGTTTACCGGCTTGTCCAACAACATCTACAGCCTGTACACGAAAGACAAGGAGAAAGTGAGACATTTATCTGTCTTATATTGTTGCTGCCTTAGATTAATTTCATCTGGAGCTCTGACACAAGGTCTTTCCACACAAAGTTCCCATTATGTTCAACATGTTCATATTTCTGTCACTTATTCCAACCAGCCAATTCAACATGACAGATAGCTTTCACTTGTATCTTGTAAGTATCAGCTTATAAATTTCACAATAATTGGCAACAGAAATCATGGACTTGTTACAACTGAATTAGAGGACTTATTAACCATGATGACAGTAACCACTTCAATAAGAAATAGTTTTACAGATGTAGAACTTTGACACAACAGAAGAAATCCCTACCTGGCCAACTCGAACAGACACTGCAAGAGGTCTCAGATCTTCATCAAATGTGACTAACATCCTGGGCTGCATAGCAGCAACAAGGTGGTAGAGGACATAGTGGGACTTGCCCAGGATTACTGCAACAGAAACAACAATAGGTGAGGAAAAGTTGAGGGGGAAAAGGATTTAATGTGAGTAATGAAAGCACATTTGTGCATCCGTAAAACCCTGCATTATACAGCGACGTGCACATGTGCACATGCAGATTTCGTGGCATTCTCATAGTGTGTCTAGCAAAAGAAAAAATGTATGTAAAACAAGAAAAAAAAATTCACCTTAAAAGAAACAAACAAGTTGATGGTGTTACACATTCAGCAGAATAACCTTAATTAATATATGTAAGCTGAACTTAGTTTGCAAGGTTTATACAAACAGTGCAAGTGGAATGTCAACATTTTACTCTTTGCCCAATTTGACAACACAGAAACATTACTGTAACCATGACAACACATATGGGCAATCATATCATCACTCATTTCCATGATTAAAGCAATCTTGATATCTGATTACCCTCTATCACACTGTTGACTAAATCACAAACCACAGTGCAAGTGGAGGTCAACACAAAGTTAAAACGTAATTTGACCACACAGAAACATCTCCATAACAATGAAAACAAACCTTAGACTTCATGTACCTGGGGAAACCCACTCAATACACAGGAATCATCTTCCCGAGTCAAGGGTGTTAACTTACTTTGACAGTCCAGTTTCCACCCTTGCCGAACTAGGCTGGAACTATGGAGTCATATTATGGATGGACTAATCATGCTAATGAGTCTATGCATAGTTCAATCAAAATTGGGTAAAGAAATCGACATCCGCTTCATAAACTACTGTGCAGATTTCTGTTGATTGCAGGATTTGCAAAGCATGTGTACTGCCAACTCAGTGTCGACAGATATTTTGCCAATCTTTTTATGTTTTTTATCAAGGTGCTCACATGATTTGATACACTTCGCGAAGTAAGACTCGTATTATTAAAATATAGATTTTCATTACTCATCAGATCGTCTAGACTGGGCGCCACCATTCTGTTTTAAGTAAATGCAAGTGATATGAGAGGTGGAATCTGATTGGTTGATAGGAGGGTCATAGAAGGGAGGAAACTTGAAAACCACTGGTGGTGCTCCGATTGAGGTTGGAAATTCCAGCCTATCACAGGAAGGGTGGAAAAAGGACTTTTACAGTCAGTTAACTCCCTTGACTCATGAAGATGCACCGGAATGGGCAAGAGTTGTACACTCTCTAATTGACTGTAACAATGCATTCCTTATCATGTTATTATACTGGTTGGTTAAGGGGGAATGTTCGTTGAACTTAGTTTGCAAAGTCCATACAACCACAGTGCAAGTGGAATGTCAACATTTCAATTTATGCCCAAATTGACAACACAGAAACATTACTGTAACCATGACAACACATATGGGCAAGAATATTTCAAGAACAATAGATTATCCTCAAATGGCTAGCTCCAACAGTTACTTTGTTCCCATACACAAACACATGGTAGCTGTTAGCACGGTTAGCACTATCTTCAGATAAACATGTCAATTGTTTCTTTTAAGGCAACAGACAAGATCATGGTGTTACAATTACTTGATGCCTTATTTCACATTACTAATCCTTGAGGGGTTTAACCAAGTCATAAGGAGTGTACACAACTTAAACCAAGGTAACACTGAGCAGTGATTAGAAGAGGGACACTAATTTCACAAGTAATATTATCATGATGATTTGATCATATTTTTTTCAATTTTTAATGTATGTTTGCTGAACTTAGTTTGCAAAGTCCATACAACCAAAATGCAAGTGGAATGTCAACATTTCAATTTATGCCCAAATTGACAACACAGAAACATTACTGTAACCATGACAACACATATGGGCAATCATATCATCACTCATTTCCATGATTAAAGCAATCTTGATATCTGATTACCCTCTATCACACTGTTGACTAAATCACAAACCACAGTGCAAGTGGAGGTCAACACAAAGTTAAAACGTAATTTGACCACACAGAAACATCTCCATAACAATGAAAACAAACCTTAGACTTCATGTACCTGGGGAAACCCACTCAATACACAGGAATCATCTTCCCGAGTCAAGGGTGTTAACTTACTTTGACAGTCCAGTTTCCACCCTTGCCGAACTAGGCTGGAACTATGGAGTCATATTATGGATGGACTAATCATGCTAATGAGTCTATGCATAGTTCAATCAAAATTGGGTAAAGAAATCGACATCCGCTTCATAAACTACTGTGCAGATTTCTGTTGATTGCAGGATTTGCAAAGCATGTGTACTGCCAACTCAGTGTCGACAGATATTTTGCCAATATTTTTATGTTTTTTATCAAGGTGCTCACATGATTTGATACACTTCGCGAAGTAAGACTCGTATTATTAAAATATAGATTTTCATTACTCATCAGATCGTCTAGACTGGGCGCCACCATTCTGTTTTAAGTAAATGCAAGTGATATGAGAGGTGGAATCTGATTGGTTGATAGGAGGGTCATAGAAGGGAGGAAACTTGAAAACCACTGGTGGTGCTCCGATTGAGGTTGGAAATTCCAGCCTATCACAGGAAGGGTGGAAAAAGGACTTTTACAGTCAGTTAACTCCCTTGACTCATGAAGATGCACCGGAATGGGCAAGAGTTGTACACTCTCTAATTGACTGTAACAATGCATTCCTTATCATGTTATTATACTGGTTGGTTAAGGGGGAATGTTCGTTGAACTTAGTTTGCAAAGTCCATACAACCACAGTGCAAGTGGAATGTCAACATTTCAATTTATGCCCAAATTGACAACACAGAAACATTACTGTAACCATGACAACACATATGGGCAAGAATATTTCAAGAACAATAGATTATCCTCAAATGGCTAGCTCCAACAGTTACTTTGTTCCCATACACAAACACATGGTAGCTGTTAGCACGGTTAGCACTATCTTCAGATAAACATGTCAATTGTTTCTTTTAAGGCAACAGACAAGATCATGGTGTTACAATTACTTGATGCCTTATTTCACATTACTAATCCTTGAGGGGTTTAACCAAGTCATAAGGAGTGTACACAACTTAAACCAAGGTAACACTGAGCAGTGATTAGAAGAGGGACACTAATTTCACAAGTAATATTATCATGATGATTTGATCATATTTTTTTCAATTTTTAATGTATGTTTGCTGAACTTAGTTTGCAAAGTCCATACAACCACAGTGCAAGTGGAATGTCAACATTTCAATTTATGCCCAAATTGACAACACAGAAACATTACTGTAACCATGACAACACATATGGGCAATCATATCATCACTCATTTCCATGATTAAAGCAATCTTGATATCTGATTACCCTGTATCACACTGTTGACTAAATCACAAACCACAGTGCAAGTGGATGTCAACACAAAGTTAAAACATAATTTGACCACACAGAAACATCTCCATAACAATGACAACAAACCTTAGACTTCATGTACCTGGGAAAACCCACTCAATACACAGGAATCATCTTCCCGAGTCAAGGGTGTTAACTTACTTTGACAGTCCAGTTTCCACCCTTGCCAAACTAGGCTGGAACTATGGAGTCATATTATGGCTGGACTAATGAGTCTATGCATAGTTCAATCAAAATTGGGTAAAGAAATCGACATCCGGGACACTAATTTCACAAATAATATTATCAAAATGATTTGATTTAATTTATTTCAATTTTCAATGTATGTTTGCTGAACTTAGTTTGCAAGTTTCACATTTATAACATTATACACACTTTGATTTCACACATGATCAGGAGTAAAAGATGCAGAACTTGGCGTCCTCACGCATCTACAGACAAATACATTGTTTGCTGAACTTAGTTTGCAAGGTTTATACAAACAGTGCAAGTGGAATGTCAACATTTCAATTTATGCCCAAATTGACAACACAGAAACATTACTGTAACCATGACAACACATATGGGCAAGCATATACTCTGCTTCAAAATGACTAATCATCCTTGTTCATGTCTAACACCCCCACATAACTTTACGTGTGTAAACTAGACAATTTGGATAGTGACAGTTGGCAGTCCCATAGCCATGACATGATCACAACCAAGGGCTAATTCTATCCAGGAACAGCCACTAGACACCCAGGAATGGGTAAGCGTGATACACTGCAGGGATTATCCTGGAAATTTTTACCTATGAGAGAAAATCTCCCCTGGTCCAAAAGCAATTAGATTTTATGGCGTGTGATGGGATTTTGCTAAGTTTCAGAGATATTTTGTCTTCTCACAGTGAAAACTGTATTTGACTTACAGTATTTGTGACTCAAATTATGTTGCAATTAATGTTACGAGATAATATAGACATATCCTCAGATATCCATTTTTGAACATTAATGTGAACAGTTTCCAATGTGAATATTTAAACATATTACATTGGTATGAAAAGAAATAACATTAGTATTTATATTTCTGTTCATTGTCTACTTTAGGAGAAATTACATTAATATTTATGCATTTCTGTTTATTGTTGACTTTAGGAGGAAATATATGCAAGGACAATTATAGATCGTTTAGGTGTGTTTACCACCGTCAGCTGTTCATTTCGGTGGCATGCAGGAGACAACAGTCTGCAGTTATCAAATATCTAGGTCTTTGACAATGTGTGTTCAGATCGTAATTTAATATATTCGAAGTAATGACATGAAATAGAGACTGTTGTAAATGTTGTTACAGTTTGTTGGCAAAAAATATATTTACACAGAATGAGATAACACATGGTGCTTTGTCAATATTGCTGTCTATGTCCGTCTGTAGTGTGTACCATATCAAGGGAAATATTATGGAATTTTTATTTCCCGGAGAAGGCGGCGTGTTTGCATGTGCAGCAGCCAGAAAATTTGTACGAACATCCGGAAATAGAAAAGACTGTTGACATTCAAAAAGTTTATGAGTATGAGTTAGATCTGAATAATAAGTCACAGTTTTCAATTTTTATGAATCTCTGACTAAGTCAATTCATGACAGTGTATCTAGTTACAAAGAGTACACTGACATATTCATACTTAATTGGTGGTATTACCCATAAACCTTAAAAAGCATCTAACAATGTATGTATGTATGTATGTATGTATGTATGTATGTATGTATGTATGTATGTATGTAAACATTTTCTTTCATAGGAAACACAAGCTAACAAGAGTGAGTGAGTTGACTTTAAAGCCGCTTTTAACAGTATTCCAGTTATATCACGGCATGTCAGCTTAATGTGGGAGGAAAGCCCGAAGTGATGCATGTCTCAGATGTTTACCACTTCGGTGAAACCCACGAGCATGGTGCTGACAAACCAAGAAACATAATCGGGGCGAACTGGGATTTCGAACCCACAATCATAGGTTTCTGGCGTGCCCAAGGGACGCAACTCTGCACAGCAAATCGCGACACCTTAGACGACTTGGCCACCCGTGCCCCCCACAAGCTAAGAAGAAAGGATACTTTGGTATTCAGAATATTCTTAAATTAACTTCATGTAACAAAATGTTTGTTGAACTTAGTTTGCAAAGTCCATACAACCACAGTGCAAGTGGAATGTCAACATTTTAATTTATGCCCAAATTGACAACACAGAAACATTACTGTAACCATGACAACACATATGGGCAAGAATTTTTCAAGACTAGATTATAATCAAATGGCTAGCTCCAATAGTTATTTTGTTCCTACACACAAACACATGACAGCTACTAGCATCATCTACCAACAAAACAGACACAATCATTTCTTTTAAGGCAACAGACAAGAGTGAGTGAGTGAGTGAGTATGGTTTTACACCGCTTTTAGCAACATTCCAGCAATATCATGGCGGGGGACACCAGAAATTGGCCTCACACATTGTACCCATGTCGGGCAACAGACAAGATATGGTGTTATGATTACTAACAGCTGAGGGGTTTAACCAAGTGATAAGTAGTGTACACAACTTAAACCAAGGTAACACTGAGCAGTTATTAAAAGTGGGACACTAATTTCACAAATATCATAAACCTGATATAATTTTATTTAGTTAAATTTTCAATGTATGTTTGCTGAACTTAGTTTGCAAAGTCCATACAACCACAGTGCAAGTGGAATGTCAACATTTCAATTTATGCCCAAATTGACAACACAGAAACATTACTGTAACCATGACAACACATATGGGCAAGTCTATTGTCTTCAATTGTATAGATTGTCATATGCCTAACCATCAAATACAATGTTAAGAAATGAAAAGCATAATTTGTTCAATTATCAAATTACCTTATGAGGAAGTTGGCTACAATATTGCCTGAATTATTTAGTTATTTTGGTGTTGACTGGTTGTAAGATATTACCACGAAGGAATTTCCAATCTGATGATGACTTTTTTGTTGTCTTGGATTTAATTTTGAAGGATCCATTTGTTAGGATATTCTGCTTGTATAAACTTTACAAAAATTGCCAAGTCCATTTTGATAGCTAAATAACGAATGGTTTTCCCTCTCGATGTTTTAGGCAAGACATGATATATTTCATGCCTCATTCAATGTTATGGTCCATTGATTGTTATTTTACATATGAACAGTTTGAGTAGCCCTAATGAGGTGAGGTGAGGTTCAAGATCACGTCTAAGATTATTGCACTCATATATCTATGTTTGAATGCACGTAAGTACGTGCGTGAGTGCGTGCCTGTCCAGACTAATGCTGATTTTATTGTGCTAGCCCACTGAGATACAATGCCGCAGTTCAACATGTATACCCTACTCAGACACAATATACAGACTCCGAGCCAGCCAGTTTAAACCCCTTAATGAGGAGCGCCAGGCAGGGTAAGAGTGAGTGAGTGAGTTTGGTTTAACGTCGCTTTTAACAGTATTCCAGCTTTATCACGGCGTGTCAGCTTAATATGGAAGGAAAGCCCGAAGTGATGCAGGTCTCGGACGTTTACCACTTCGGTGAAACCCACGAGCACGGGTATGGTGCTGACAAACCTAGAAACATAATCGGGGCGAACCGGGATTCGAACCCACAATCATAGGTTTCTGGCGTGCCCAAGGGATGCAACTCTGCACAGCGAATCGCGGCGCCTTAGACGACTGGGCCACCCGTGCCCCCAGGCAGGGTAAGAACAAGTACCATCCTTTAACATCTTTTAGTATGACATGGCGGGGAATCAAACCCACCTTACGCTCTGCGGGGCAAGCGCTCTATCCACTTGGCAACGGACGCCCCTAATGAGAAAATAACCCCAATGTTTGTTTCCCAATGTGCCGGCATCAATAGGTGAATGACCATGGTCAGAAGTGTACTACTCAACATTTGCTAAGGACCACAACAGTCATCTTTAGTCAAAGGTGTGGTCCTCAGCAAATGTTAAATAGTATAGATGAGGTGTGATCTCCAGTGGCCTAGGGACATTGGGAAGTTGGCAAAATGGGACTCAACCATTCTGATAACTCAGTAATGGATAGTAGATATTAGGGGGATGGTTATAGGGAGAGAGGCACTGATTAGGTAGATCTATGTATCAAAACCTTTCTTTCAAATAAAGTATATGTTTGCTGAACTTAGTTTGCAAAGTCAGCAAAAATAACAGTGCAAGTGGAATGTCAACATTTCAATTTATGCCCAATTTGACAACACAGAAACATTACCGTAACCATGATAACACATATGGGCAAGTTTAACATCATCAGCCATCGCAAGTCCAAAATCCATCACAACTATATCTCTATTCATGAGAAAATGACTGATGAATCATCCGGGATCATAGTGAGTGAGTGAGTATGGTTTTACGCCGCTTTTAGCAATATTCCAGCAATATCACGGCGGGGGACACCAGAAACAGGCTTCACACATTGTACCCATGTCGGGAATCGAACCCGGGTCTTCGGCGTGACAAGTTAACGCTTTAACCACTAGGCTACCCGACCACCCCTCCGGGATCATAAAGGACCAATGTTTTCCAAGGAAGCGAAAAAGGAACTCACTTGTTTTGACATCTAAAGCTGAGACCAAGACAGCCAGCAAACCAGCCACAGCTACTGGACTCATGAGGGCCCTGTCGCTGTGGTAGGGGCAGAGTGTGAGGGTGCCTTTACCAAGGTGAGTCAAGCCTTGTGCCAAGCGCACCATGAAGAAGTTGTTGGGGTCTTTAGCATGGTACACTGCAAGCTGGCGCAACATGGCTGCTAGACGAGCGTTGTTTGTTCCTGCAACCATAGAAGTGATGATGACTAGTGAATTAAAGCATCATGGTATAAACTTGAATATTCAAGGAAAAACATAACAAATGTGGGATACAGAGACGATTACTCTGAGCTAGTAAATGAAATTATTTTAAAGTTACTGTATAATGGAGAGGATAACTATACAGTGAGTGAGTTGGGTTTAACGCCGCTTTTAACAGTATTCCAGTTATATAGCGTTGTGTCAGCTTAATGTGGGAGGAAAGCCCAAAGTGATACAGGTCTCAGATGTTCACCACTTCGGTTAAACCCACGAGCACGGGTATGGTGCTGACAAACCTAGAAACATAATTAGGGCGAACCAGGATTCGAACCCACAATCATAGGTTTCTGACATGCCCAAGGGACCCAACTCTGCACAGCGAATCACGGCGCCTTAGACGACTTGGCCACCCATGCCCCCAATATGCAATGATTGAGCAAGTGGATCCAAGAATGGGGTCCTCTCCAAGACTCACCACCTATTTTTGGTGTGGTGGTGGGGTGTCATTTTCTAAATTTGAGAGTCATGATTTTCCTGGCCATGCCTGTTTGCTGTCAAATACACTGTGACCGTCAGTTATGACTTGTATGAAAAACTTATGCGATATTCCAGGATATAACTGTCAAATACGCAGGAATTACACGTCATGTAAAACCCTGTTCTCTCATTCTTCTGACACATGGATACCACCTTGTTAAAACCTGTCAGAACTCTTATGGTGCAGAGACACAGAGGATCATAATCAAGATTCAAAACCAAATCTGATTTCAAACCCACGTCCAGTACACGGATCCAAATCAAAGGGAAACAACTGTGCACAATGATTTCAGGCACCTTAGATCACATTCCCCAGAGAATGAGTGAGTATTGTTTTACGCTGTTTTTAGCAATATTCCAGCAATATCACAGTGGGGACACAAATGGATTCACACATTGTACTGTGGGTATTGGAGTGACGAGCAAACACTTTAACCACTAGGCTACCCCACCGGAGAATGACAACACAAAGATGAAGCAGCTATATGTTCTGACCTGCTCCTGTGATTCCCATGGCAAGGATGGAGTTGTGAGCTACTTCAGGGTCATTGTCGTGAGAGAACTTGCTGAGTGTGTCCAGGATCTGGAGCTTGGGGTTGGACACAGAGATCAAGGAAAGTGCCAATGGCACAGCCCTCTTGATTGACATCTCTCCGTACCGCAACTGCAACAATCAGATGTTTCACTGAACGTCCCCTAGTATCATAATTAACCTAAAATTCTCAAAACATTTACAATGACTTATTCATCATCCAAAACTGGCTTCCACGGGAGCTATCACTTGGGTGAGATCATGCAATCTCTCGCTGCATTGAAATTGCATCACATTCTTTGTAGACCATTATGTCATCGGATACCATGACGTCACAATCTAATAACATCACTAATCCCTCTGCCACTGAAGCTGCTTAGCTGTTATTTTTAGGCTCAAGAAACTGTTGTACAGTTTACAAACTGAAAAGGTTGGAGGAATTATGTTGGATGAACTAGTCGATACAACATTTATCAATGACTGTTGATATATTTGATATAAAAAGACACTCGGATGAGAATCTCAAAATCTCAGCACGATTTCAACCACAAATATGAACATGATGAAACAGTAAAAATGATCAATCTCCAAATAAAAAAAATCTTGCAATACTCACCAAATGCCCAAATGTACGGAATGACATTTCTGCTCCTATTTCTTCACCCATAGATATGAGAGCAATACCTAAAACTGCTATGCCTGAAAGTAAACAAAGAAGACTTGTATTACTGACGAGAAATTGAAAATAAAAGACCTAAGTTTCTGTTAAAGGACAATGCCTTTTATTTTTCGAAAGTTTCTTCTGTTTAATTTCAAATAATATGTATGTTTGCTGAACTTAGTTTGCAAAGTCGGTAAAAATAACAGTGCAAGTGGAATGTCAACATTTCAATTTATGCCCAATTTGACAACACGGAAACATTACTGTAACCATGACAACACATATGGGCAAGAATATCCTGTGCTTCAAAATGACAAATCATCCTTGGGCATCAGCCATTGAAAGTATATTAAATATCTGTGCTAACAAAAGCAACCATTCACAGAGGTAAATTTACGAAACATATTCGTCGGAAAGTTGAGTATTGTGGCAACAAAAGTAACATGTACAGAACATGAGTTCCTGAATTTTTCTTGTCATATACAATTGTTCCACAAGGCTGTAGCATGATGCCAATGTGAGATGAACGTCCAACTACCTTGTTGTATTGACAGGTCTGGCCCTGCTGGTTCCTTCTCCTTCTCCTTCTTATCATCCTTCTTCTTGTTCTTGTCTTCCTTCTTCTCATTGTTATCCTGGAATAGACACCAGTGTAAGTACAGTTTTCTGTTTTCTGGAGGTGAGGTGGTGAGGTGGTGAGGTGGTGAGGTGAAATGAGTGAGTATGGTTTTACGCCGCTTTTAGCAATTTTCCAGCAATATCACGGCGGGGGACACCAGAAATGGGCTTCACACATTGTACCCACATCAGAAAACCCAGGTCTTCGGCGTGACGAGCGAACGCTTTAACCACTAGGCTACCCGACCGCCCCTTGAGGTGAAATGAAGATACCCACCTTCCCAAGGTAAGGGGGATAACTGACTATAATAGTCCCGTTTCCATTCTTGCCGAACTAGGCTGGAATTTTGGAGCTACCTTTTGGCTGGACCAACAAGTCAAATCAAAATTGCGTAACAAATTGATATCCAGTTTGTAAACTGCTGTGCAGATATCGGTCGATTGCAGGTTTAGAAAAACATGTGTACCGCTTACTTAGCATTGACAGACATTTCCAAATCTTTTCATGTTTTTAGCTCAACTAATTTGATGCACTTCACGAAGTAAGACCCATGTTATTACAATATAGATCTTCATTATTGATCAGATTTATGTTTTGTTTGCCATTTTGTTTGAAGCAAATACAAGTGATATGATAGGTGGAATCTGATTGGTCAACGGGAGGGACATAGAAGGGACATAACTCGTAAAAGCAACTGGTGGCGCTACAATCGAGCCACGAAATTCCAGGCTAGTTTGGCAAGGGAAGATGGGAGATACCACGCCACAGTTTAACATGAATACCCTATTCAGACACAGTATACTGACTCCGAGCCGACCAGTCCTTGTTTAGTCTCTTAGTGCAGAGTGCCAGGCAAGGTAACAAAAAGTACCATCTTTTAACGTCTTTTGGTGTGACGCGCAAGGGATTGAACCCCAGACCTTTCGCTCTCTGGGAAGACGCTCTAGGTCACGGAGGTGGTCCATTTTCTGGAGATCTTTAAAGTTTATTAGCCAGTCTAAACAGAATTCTTACTGGACTTGGGTTTCGGACTTGTGGCTATAGTCACAAACTGTACACATTAAAGTGTAGGCAAGAAGAGAGACTCTTGTACTTGAGCGACAAGAAACAAATGTGTTCAAGTGTTCAGCCAGTTGGTAATAAGTCAGCTAATAACCGAATCTCGTCCAGACAACCGGATGATTGCTATTGTAAGCAATGATCCTCGTCATCAGGGTATGATGACACAATGAACCAATTCACCGAGTTCTACCACCTGACCCATTTGCTCGCCCCTTATTTGGTCAATATCAAAACAATAAATATGGCTGAAAAACACATATGAACAGGCAAGAGTCCAGCGTCCAGGGCCGATACAAGACACAGAAATGCCCTAATCTATATCCTAATACTTTGAAAGCTTCCCGGAAGATTGACTTTATATAGAGTTTGATATCATGAACATTGTTACCATACCTGATCTTTCGAATCGTCATGTTCCGAACATATATGTAACAGGTGTTGAATCTTCAGAACATTACCAGTGCCTGGAAGTCAAGAAGAAACATACTTTACAAACAACACCAAGATGTATCAGATCATACAAACTGCCTCATAGTGTACATAGTCTACCCATGGCATCTGTTCTCTACTTCTCACAAAACACCAATCATATAATGGAATTTTTTCTCTTTTTTCCAGATTGCAAATGGCTAGTCTGGCAAAGAAAACTTGAGTTGTTCTGATTATTAACTACATAGCTCGCAACTTTCCCAAATTACAATCAGTAATTAGTTATGATCTTCTGGACGGTACACCAATACCTGATGATATTGCGAGGGTGACAACAGTACAAAACTGTCATGTGATTCACAAACTCAGTTGATAAATGTATGGCTTAGTTTCCATCTTGACTACAGGAACTTCCAATAATACAATAGGAGTGTTTGGATTTGACAGATGCAACACTTTCAACATATTTCATACCAGTCAATAAACAAGAGGGTCTCGCATTTGTAGCAGATGGTGTAAGGCTAAATACTGACCCTCTATGAAAAGTTAGGCCTTGTGATTATATTTTTGTAGATTGGCATGTAAGTTATGTGAAATAAGGAAGAAAGTATATTTTCATAGTTTAGTTGCAAATTCGTAACAAACACTGAAAGAATTGGGGGTTATTTAAGTCCTTTTGAGTAGTACATACATATGTTTGCTGAACTTAGTTTGCAAGGTTTAGACAAACAGTGCAAGTGGAATGTCAACATGTTAATCTTTGCCCAATTTGACAACACAGAAACATTACTGTAACCGTGACAACACATTCTGGGCAACCATAAAGATGATATTATCATCAGTATCCTCTGTACATACCTGCATATGCACAGACATCAACCAGCATGGTCGCCATTGACTTGAGTGGCTCCCCTACAACCTCCAGAGCTACAAGTGTGGCATCCACAGCGTCTTGTTTACCTTCACGTACAAACAGGAGACATTAAACATTCAGTTCAAAAAGATTTATAACACACCCAAAGTATGTATTGAAAAGCACAAATTTTCAGCGAAATATAAGGCAAATACAATCTTCAAGGGATTTGTTGCACATAAGTTATTGTAGGCAGGGATGCAAATTCGTACTAGCCTGCTGGCTTTAGTGAAGATTATTTATTTTTAAGATATCCCAAGGGCTAGTAGAATTTCAGACATTTCACAGGTAGTCCTTATATTGTATAACCTTAACTAAACAGAAGTAACCTTAATCTCTCTTCCCTAAATTGCTTGCATATGGCCCAGTTGTATAGATCGATCCTCATGATGTCAATCACTGGATTGTCTAGTCCAGACTCAATTATTTACAGATCGTGTCATATAGCTGGAATATTGCTGAGTGTGGCGTTAAACAACAAAGTAGCAAATTTGACTTTTCTGAATACGATTTCAACTGTCATCTTACCTAAATAAGTTAATGCAAGCCCAAGAGCTAGGTATCTTGAGTATGTGTCTTTCAGGTCTGCTTCCGACCTCTCCATCATTGTCTGAAGAACTGTAGACGTCACATCACCATTGCAACTTCCAACTGATATCATGCCACAAGCCAAGGCAGCCATACCTATCACCTGCAAACAACATATTTTCACATTTTATAACATAATACACACTTCCATTTCACACATGATCAGGAGTAAAAGATGCGGAACTTGGTGTCTTGACGCATCTACAGATAAATACATTGTTTGATGAACTTAGTTTGCAAGGTTTATACAAACAGTGCAAGTGGAATGTCAACATTCTAATCTTTGCCCAAATTGACAACACAGAAACATTACTGTAACCATGACAACACATATGGGCAACTACGTCGTCAGCTGATCAACAGGTCACCCAACATAAACAAGTTTCTCTCAATTCTGTTGAACTAAATATTCTCATTACCATCTTGGTCAGAGGATGTTATAAGGGAGAAGCACAAGTAACACTGATTACAACCATAAATGTTTTAGAAAAGTTTTGGCAAGTACACATATAAACTACTCAAAACAAGCTGAAGAACTCCCAATTCTTTCACATAACTTCAGTTAATCTCATGACAGACAAACCATAGTAATATGAAAAAATTGGGTGTTATGTAAGTCCTTTTGAGTAGTACATATATACATATGTATGATGAACTTAGTTTGCAGGGTTTATACAAACAGTGCAAGTGGAATGTCAACATTTTAATCTTTGCCCAAATTGACAACACAGAAACATTACTGTAACCATGACAACACATATGGGCAACTACGTCGTCAGCTGATCAACAGGTCACCCAACATAAACAAGTTTCTCTCAATTCTGTTGAACTAAATATTCTCATTACCATCTTGGTCAGAGGATGTTATAAGGTAGAAGCACAAGTAACACTGATTACAACCATAAATGTTTTAGAAAAGTTTTGGCAAGTACACATATAAACTACTCAAAAAAGGTGAAGAACTCCCAATTCTTTCACATAACTTCAGTTAATCTCATGACAGACAAACCATAGTAATATGAAAAAATTGGGTGTTATGTAAGTCCTTTTGAGTAGTACATATATACATATGTATGCTGAACTTAGTTTGCAGGGTTTATACAAACAGTGCAAGTGGAATGTCAACATTTTAATCTTTGCCCAATTTGACAACACAGAAACATTACTGTAACCATGACAACACATTTGGGGCATCTGTATTTCATAAATATGACATCATGTCTGCAGGTAAATATATCTTCAGAGGTCAATAGCTCAAACATGCCATTATCACCTATGTCATTAACATAACACATTTCGTATGAGGTGGTCAAGAATGTTTTTGGAGTGTGGGAAACTTATCTTTAACAGCACACAGTTCATGAGCAACGCAACAGTGAACAACCATCTAAAGTCAGTCTGATACATTAATAAACAGTTCCAGAAAACAGAAATACAAACTTTAAGTCACATCTGACATGCTACCTTTGGAAAACACAAATATAACTAAAAGATATTATTTTGTAGGCCATAGGTAAGGTAAAGGCAATAGGGTAATTTAATATAACACAAAGCATACATGTATGCTGAACTTAGTTTGCAGGGTTTAGACAAACAGTGCAAGTGGAATGTCAACATTTTAATTTTTGCCCAATTTGACAACACAGAAACATTACTGTAACCATGACAACACATTTGGGGCAACTATATCTTATAAAGTTGATATTATGTCTGCAGGTAAATATACCTTCAGATGTCAAAACTCCAGTGTGCCATAGAATCTGTAGATGTTCTAGCCTTATTACCTGTATCAATAACACATTTTGTATGAGATGTAACCATGTTTTTGGTTTGTGTGAAACATACCTTTAAAAGCAAATGGTTTGTGAGCAAACCGACAATGTGAACCATTTTAAAGTCAGTCTAACTGATACATTGATAAACAGTTCCCTCACACAGAAACTGAAAGTCACATTTGACATGCTACCTATGAAAAGTCAAACAGAAAAATTCAAACTCAACTAAAAGCTTTAATATTGTAGTTTATAGGCAAGGTAAAGTGAGTGAGTGAGTGAGTTGGGTTTTACGCCGTTTTTTAACAGTTATTCCAGTTATATCGCGAAGTGTCAGCCTAATGTGGGAGGAAGCCTGAAGTGATGCAAGTCTTGGACGTTTACCACTTCGGTGAAACCCACGAGCATGGGTATGGTGCTGACAAACCTAGAAACATAATCGAGTTGAACTGGGATTCAAACCCACAATCATAGGTTTCTGGCGTGCCCAAGGGACGCAACTCTGCAAAGTGAATCACAGTGCCTTAGATGACTGGGCCACCCGTGCCCCCCAGGCAAGGTAAAGGCAACATGGCAATTAGATTTAATATAAACCATACATGTATGCTGAACTTAGTTTGCAAGGTTTATACAAACAGTGCAAGTGGAATGTCAACATTCTAATCTCTGCCCAATTTGACAACACAGAAACATTACTGTAACCATGACAACACATATGGGCAGCTAAGTTGTCAGCTGATGAACAGGTCATCCTCAGTGTTCCAACATTATGAGTTTGTCTCAATTCACTAGTAACAACTATCAGTCACTTTAACAGGATCAGGACCAAAACTGGTGATTTATTTCAAGTAGGTAAAGTCAAAATCTTACTTATACATGTTTTTATGGTTATAAATACAAAGAAAAGTGTCTTATAAACAGATTGATACCTCATTAGTTGTAATATATCTATAATTTCAGGATCTTAACATAAATGTTTACAACAGAAATGAAACCTTTCTTCTCAAGTTGTGCATTCACAATAATGACAGGATAATCTGATTTATGCAATAAATGCCCAGAGTGTTTAACTAAGTCAGACAAGAAAATAATGCCCTCATTATCATCATGGTCAAAGGAAATCAAAAGAGAAGAGGCAAAAATAACACTTTACACCTTAACATGTTTAGAAAATCACGTTCAAAAGTATATATTGTATGCTGAACTTAGTTTGCAAGGTTTATACAAACAGTGCAAGTGGAATGTCAACATAATTATCTTTGCCCAATTTGACAACACAGAAACATTACTGTAACCATGACAACACATATGGGCAACTGCAAGGATGAGCTCTAGAAGTTCTGGTTTTCTAATCTGTATCATAAATATTACCCATTTTGTAGGAGATCGTTAACCATGTTATTAACATAGACATATAGGTGTGTGTAAAACATTACAGAAACCATGACAACACATGTCACAACACATGCAATGACTTCCCTAATCATAACTAAGGTGGCATGTTGGATTATTTGTGAAATATATGATCTGGCGAAGTTCACAGGCTGCAATAACATCTATTAATTACTTCATCTACTGTCTGTGCCAAATACTTTTCAGCGGATGAAACTAATTTATAGTCCACTAGTACTTATATGGATAACATATAGAAACACCCTTAAAAATGGCAAATTTCTAATAGTCCTCATGATACCGTAACTATTGGGCAGTTTGGCAAGGACTACAGGACTAGTGCCAATTTCTAATGCAGCTTATAGATATCTAGCCCCAACTTCGCTCTAAGCATACTTTTCAGTGGATTTTAGTGTCATCATGTGGACTATTATTAGCTGAGCTAACCAGGTCGAACAGGATTTTACTAGACCTGAGTACCCTAGTACAAAACAACCTTAGCGCTAGACTGTTGTAAGTCTATGTTAAAGTATGGGAGTTACGATTACCTTAGTGCTACGATCGCTTTGTACAACAGCTTCAGTCACAGATTGCATGTATATATAGTGTTTATTTGATGTTTCTTGGTCCACACCTTCCTGGGGTACTGATAATGAATAGCGACACTACCAACAGCTGACGTCGTACCATCATCAAATACGAGTGAGTGAGCGAGTATGGTTTTATGCCCCTTTTAGCAATATTCCAGCAATATCATGGCGGGGGACACCAGAAATGGGCTTCACACATTGTACCCATGTCAGGAATCAAACCTGAGTCTTCGGCGTGATGAGCGAACGCTTTAACTACTAGGCTACCAGACCGCCCCCATCATCAAATACGACTTGGACTATGTAATAACCCATTTAACAAGAAAACTGTTCCCTCAACTTAAACTGATCTAAACAAGAAAGGAAACACTTGACATAATACAAACCTCCATAGATGATTTAGTCTCTCCTAATACTGGCAGAATGAGACTGAGCACATCTTCACGGTTTGAACCAGCATACGCCAAACCAAGACTGGAATAGAAGCACGTCATCTTATAACAAGTAAAAACAGTGCATGTTGCTCTTCAAGAATCTTACTGACATTCCAGTGTGCTAGCCTGCAAGTACATACATGTTGAAAGAAAACAAACGATTGCTGTTATGGTATCTGATTAATTCAACTGAAAAGGATGCAGTCATGACATCTAATTAATTCAACTGAAAAGATCGCAAGTTATGATATCTGATTAATTCAACTGAAGACTGCAGTTATGAACTCCAAATAATTCAGCACATGAATAACAAGCAATGCTTACCCCACTATGGCTCCTATCCTCATGACATTGCTGGTGTGTACAACGTAGTCAGTAAGCAGGGCCAGGGCCGGGTCACACTCATTCCTCACTCCAGAATTGACAATACCACACGCGAGGAGGGCACCAGCCTACATGATAAACACAACCATGTTACCTTGATGTAACTTCACAATACGATTTCTAATTTATGTTCATATTTCATTACCAATTCCATCTTTCACCTGTAAGAATCTCACCTGAACATTGTTCATTTTCGGCAGCACTGTATATATACTTGACCAGGGCTAACTAATCATAAATACTACAGATCAAGTTCAAGAACAGATATCATGCATCTGTGTGGTGTGGTGTGGTGTGGTGTGGTGTGGTGTGGTGTGGTGTGGTGTGGTGTGGTGTGGTGTGGTGTGGTGTGGTGTGTGACACACTGCACTGAGCAATATTCCAGCTACAAGACAGTAGCCTGAATATAATCGAATCCAGACAATCTGGTGATTGATATTATGAGCAACAATCCACGCCGTCAGGGCACACTGACACATCAAACAAGTCACCAAGTCTGACCACCCGATCCATTAATTCAGGCCCAGAATCCCTAAAGATTTGGTAAATGCCTATTCTCAGATCATAAAACCAGTCTGCACCTACCTTGATATGATCCTCTGCAGAGTAGAGGTACTTATCAATCTGTGTGAGACCTCCATCAACATCCCACAGCAGAATCAGACCCAGAGAAGCTGTCGCACTCAGCATACCTACAGCACATTCAGGCTCAGTTGAGATCACAAAATAATAGTCAACTGTGAACTGATATTTGTAAACAAACCACAAAACATCTAATTTTGACAAGAGATGGTGAGGTGAAATGGGGTTTAAAGTCACGTCCAAGATTATTGCACTGCGATGTGCATGCACGTGTGTGTGTGTGTGTGGCTGCTTGTACTAGTCCGGACTAATGCCGATTTATAGTGCTAGCTCACTGAGATACCATGCCGCAGTTTAACATGAATACCCCACTCAGACACAGTATACTGACTCCGAGCCAACGAGTCCTTGTTTTAGCCCCTTTTTGCCGAGCGCCAGACAGGGTAACAACAAGTACCATCTTTTAACGTCTTTTGGTATGACGCGGCCAGGGATCAAACCCCGGACCTTCCGCTCTCCGGGCGGATGCTCTACCACTAGACCACAGAGGCGGTTTTGACAAGAGAACAATTCAGAGCGCTGTATAAGGCGAGGTAAAACAACGCGTCCAAGATTATTGCACTTATATAGTGACGTGCATGTGTGTGTGTGTGGCTGCTTGTACTAGTCCGGACTGATGCCGATTTATAGTGCTAGCCCACTGAGATACCATGCCACAGTTTAACATGAATACCCCACCGAAGACACAGTATATTGACTTCGAGCCGACCAGTCCTTGTTTTAGCCCCTTAATGCCGAGCGCCAGACAGGGTAACAAGTATCATCTTTTAACATCTTTTGGTATAATGCGGCTGGGGATCGAACCCCGGACCTTCCCCTCTTTGGGCGGACGTCTCTACCACGAGAACACGGATTCGGTCAGTGCTTTATAAAATGGCATCTATACTCATGTCAAAACATTAAAATTTCCAACACATAAGTACATGCGAGTGTCTATTTAAGAATGACAGTGTAGCTGTTCTCATGATAATCTTAAAGATACATGTAGGGGCCGAAAGATGCAAATACCATAGCCGAGTCTATCTTCATTTTTAACTAAGTACCCAGGAACAAAAACACCAGTCAAATTCTATTTCAAATTACTTGAAACAAAATCCTAGCATACCATGTTCCTTGTTCTTGTACAGCCACTTGTTGCCATCCTCCATAAGAAGCTTGTCTTGACCAAATGCAGCATTGACAAACCCATTGACAAATGAAGATGCCAGGTTTTGGCGGGCCGAGTCCACATTGGAAGGACCAATAGAAGAACCTGAGGAATTGATAGATATCGGTTTGGTAAATCAGTATTGAAACGTTTAACATATGGATCATGACACCATACATCAAATCTCATCACTTTGAAAAGATGCTGAGGATGTGGGCTGCAGACAGTTTGCAAAGTAAGTTTGAATAATCCAAGTGGAATGACAATTAACATATACATGCCCAATTTTACCATCAGAATTTGGTGCCTGTCTGTGCTTTAGCCTCTGGTCCAAAGTCTGAGTCTGGTAACATCTTGTTTAGGTTAGTAAGTTCAGCTTATAAAAGTCTTTATGATAACACTAAATTATCAGCCTGAGCCAAAAAGCCCTTTCGAGACTACTCTTTTTGTTTTTTTGTTGTTTAACACCCCATTCTGCAATATCCCAGCTATATGATGGTGGTCTGCAAATAATCGAGTCTGGACCAGACAATCCAGTGATTGATATCATGAGCATTGATACACGCAATTGAGATACGATGACAAGCATCAACCAAGTCAGCGAGCCTGACCACCCGATCCCATTAGTCGCCACTTAAAACAAGCAAAAATCGCTTTTTATTCTACCCCAGATCTTTATGGGTCTTTGAGACTACCCCATTGTTGCCTCTTAGCATAATTTTCATTAGAATTTTGTGTTAGTATATGTACTATTATAAACCGAGTTTTAACCAGAACAGAATTTTGCTAGATTCTGGCTTTGGACAGTCACAGACTGGAATGCAGTTCGGGCTAGTATACTAAGTGTTTGGCACAGACTGTAGTGCAGTCACCACATCATTAAACTAGTAAATAATTCTCTTTTCATTATGGGAGGCAAAATTGTGAACTCCACTTACGATTTGGCTCAAGATGACTCTTGTAGATATCCTCTGGCACCTTAGCCTCTATGATGTCCAACTGCAAAAACATGTTACATATTTTCATGTTCTCAAAAACAACTTCCAAACAAACTGAACAGGGACTTTCGTTTGCCTGTTTCTACCACCACGTAGTATCACTGACTAAATGTATGAGTGAGTGAGTGAGTTTGATTTAACGCCGCTTTTAGCAATATTCCAGCAATATCACGGCGGGGCACACCAGAAATGGGCTTCACACATTGTACCCATGTCGGGAATCGAACCCGGGTCTTCGGCGTGACGAGCGAACGCTTCAACCACTAGGCTACCCGACCGCCAAACTAAATGTATGAAAAAATTAACTTCATTGTCTAACCCTCCCTAACCTATCACTTTTTCATAAAGGAAACAAAATGCATGACGGACAGAAATGTATGCTGAACTTAGTTTGCAATGTATATATATTTATACAAAGCAAGTGGAATGTCAACAATTTACTCTTTGCCCAATCTGACAACACAGTAACATGGAGTTACCATGACAACACTCATGGGCTGTACACTGATGTTCCACTGTATGAGTAAATGTGGGATTGTTAAATGCACTTGCCTCTCTAGCAAGAGCCAAGAAGTTGTTGTTAAGGTGAGCGTTGGACATGATCTCCATGAGCTCATCAAATTCTTCCATGTCATCATTCAACTCAAGGAAGATCTGCTGGCGACCAAGCATGTAGGCAAGTTGTTTCTGAATTGTCCTGTATGAAGAATAACAATATAACTTGTCAGAGAGGTGCACAAAGTATGTAATCTAGACAACCAGTTGTCGGACTTCAGCGATAGAAACTAACATTTTTGGTCCACTAGTCCTTATAATGATAACATATAGCAAAACCCTTAAAAATGGCAAATTTCTACTAGTCATTGATATCTTTACTATTGGGCAGTTTGGCAAGGACTACAGGGCTAGTGCCAATTTCTAACCCTGGACTTTCTTTTTTTTGGAAGCCTCGGTGGCTGAGTGGGTTAGATTGCTGACTTTGTGTGCTAGCGATTAGGTGTTTCACTCTGGCAGTGTGGGTTTGTCTCAACCCAAAAAAGTATGAGAATCTGTGCTTTACTCAGAAAGTGTTAACCCAAATATAACATTTGTTAAATAACAATAACAATAAAAAATAATAATAAAAGATAACAAGTATTTGTCACAAAGTGATGAAATGTCCCCCACCTGTATATACACCATAGTACCAAGTATGAAGACAATCCAGCGATTAGTTCTTGATATATTGCGGCAACACCGTTTTCCAACTCCAAAAGCAGATTTGCCTGCTGTGACCTTGAAAATGGGGTCAAGGTCACCAAAACCGACTGGTGTCTGCGGTGTCTGTATATACACCATAGTTCCAAATATGAAGACAATCCAGTGTTTAGTTCTTGAGATATCGCGGCAACAAACAGGTGGGACGTACGGCGGGGGACAATAATATGCCAAACCACACACCAAAGAATACTCAATGTGTGACATTATTACTCTGGTCAATGATTGATGAATCATTGTGCACTCTATTTTCATTCTCAGCTTCCTGGGGAGTATACAGCCTAAGCAGCCTTTGAGGCGCAAGAAGGTTAACAGTCACATTAACATCTCATCTACCGTGTACCTTTTCACTACTGGGTGAAGAGGCATATTTCGAACAAAGTCACTTGCCCAAGGAGACACCACATGTGCTACATGTGCTTCAGTGTGGGGCAGGACCGAAGCCCAAGAAACTCGTGGGAGACAGGTGCTGAACACAGTCACCTAGCCACCTATTCTCCATGACCAAAGTTTCTTAGCCACTCCTGATTTATGACATGAGCGCTGTACACAAGACCGCATGCCACCATGGATGACTGAATAGAATTTCTTTTAAGCTTGTATAGGTACTAGGTAATGCTCATCTTTGATGGATAATTTTCATTAATTACACTAAAAATAACTACAGGGTTCACTCTAGGAATGTTCTGACACAGGCCTTTTATGTGAAAATTTCACATACTCCAGACGAACACCCACACTTGGCCATACAGCAAAATGTTTAAATGCCCCATTGTATTTGAAAATGTGGGCCCTTTTTCAAACTTAGGGGCTAAAAGCACAAAGACCCACCCTAGAATTATCCCTGTGTTATCATAATAAGGACTAGTAGAAATAATACTCGCTTAGAACAGCCTTCTACTCGCTTGTTAAAATTATGCAGTGCATTTAAGAAATTATGAGGGAGAAAAATTTAGGGGCCACAAGGCTCCACCTTAGAATTATTCCTGTAACTAGATGACTGAAATGATACACCATTAACTCCTTAGATGATACTGCCATCTTCTACCAGTATTGCATCAATAATCATATCCTAGTGGGAGACAAAACATACACTTCATGTATTCAATACAGTGTTGACACTTGACACTAGTCCTATAGTCCTTGCCAAATCGTTAAGTTATCATGAGGACTATAGGTATTTTCTGACATGGGCATTTTATGTGAAGATATTACATATTCCAGAGGTTAACCCACACTTGCCCATACAGCACAATGTTAAAATGCCCCATTGTATTTGAAAATGTGGGCCTTTTTAAACTTAGGGGCTAAAAGCACAAAGAGCCACCCTAGAATTATCCCTGTGTTATCATAATAAGGACTAGCAGAAATTTTACTTGCTTAGAACGGCTTTCTACTTGCATGTTAAAATTCTGCATTGCATTTGACAAATTATGAGGGAGAAAAATGCAAAAGTCTGCACAGAGTTGATATTTCTGCAAAAGATTCCGCGGAATCACAGAATACGACAGGAACTGCCATGTCACTGATGTATGCTGATCTTAGTTTGCAAGGTGCATATCAGCTCAGTGCAAGTGGAATGTCAACAGTATACTGTATGCCCAATTCGACAACACAGACTCACACAGATGTCCATGACAACACATATGGGCAATAACACACATCAATTTAACAAATATCACAAAAACTGATAATATCTACTCACAGATCCTTGCAGGACATGAAGATCTCTTCAACAAGTTTCAGGTCATTCAGCTGCATGGCAAACCTAAGAGCTTGTGGGAACTGCTTGAACTTTCTGTACAGCTCCACAGCAGTTTTCAGGAGCACAATGTTCTCAGGGTCAGGGACATATGGCACACAGCTGAAAAGCAACAGGTTTGCAGGTGAATCACAACCAGGATTCATTTGTTGTTAAATTTCAGAGATCGAAGATGAGATATTGTATGTCAGAAACATATAGGCTAGAGGAAACTTTGAATTTTATGATAAATAATTTCAGTTCTGAAATAACTGCTTGTCCGCCTGCCAAGGGCTAGTAACTTTTCTGTGGGGCTGCTTGAAATTTTCCTCCACCTGCCCGACTGTCTGGCAGATAATATTTTAAGGCTACTTACGTATTCTACTCCTTGTAGATTATCTGGTAATTGTTTGCATTATTTCAGCTGAATCATGACGCGATTTCTTATATTAATAAAGTCTGAATGCAGGCATATAACTTTGAAGATGGGCAAGCAACACTTATGGGTTGCCTGCCGACTGTTTTCGGGTTATAAAATTATTTCGAACACTGTTTATAGCCAACAGGGAAATACTAGGGAATCTATGTAGCCTGGTTGGACAGTTTCTGTTATTAATCACATGTTTTTCCACCAACATAACTGTAATGTAATGTAACTTTTGTATCGCGATACAGGGGTTTAAATTAATGGATTGTATCTTGGGCCTTATATTGGGATACAAAACTGTATCGCCATATTGTATATTGTTTGAAAATGAGTTGTTAGATGATGATGCAACTGAATATTATTTTACTTCATCATGATCATGTCATCAATAAAAGGTTACAACTATTGTTCTAGTGGTTAGAAACATGTGAAACACTCTTACAAGCACATACAACCAACCCCCATATACAACAAGATATATCATTGCAAACCACATTTACTCATATAGGCAATAATCCCTTTAACACCGGTTACTGCATAAATTCCTACCTAGTGAGATAGAGACACACTCTAGGGTAGGCGTTCTCATCAACATAGTCAGTGAGAAGATGTAATTTCTCCATCTCCATGAGAACATCACATGCCTCAGCCTCTGCATTGTGATCCATGTGGTAGGGTACAATAGCCTTGGCCAGTCCGGTCAGTTTGTCACGCATATCAGTGTCCTTCTCTTCTGTGTCCTGCCACTCCTGGGCAACCTGACCGGCCAAGTGTCTGGAAAAGAACAATCATTTACGTGTGTCAACAATGTGGGCTTTATGAACAAAGCACATTCCCAGGCATTAACAATAAGCATATGCAATTGTCTGGTTTGTAACAAAGGCAGAGATGCAACCCTCATTAAATCTTTGGAATAATCAGTGGGGTAAAAAGTTTCATTTTATGTAAAAAAAAGAGTAATGTTAACAGTACATTGCAGGTTTTCGCTTCGTCCTTCCAATTAGGTGAAACGAGGTCAAAACTCCACACATTCATTAAATTCATCCTGTCACTAACTGTTTCAGAAAGGCAATGTGATGTTTCGAGTTTCAAAGTAATATCAGTCTACAGGTAAATAGTTTCCAGTCTGCTACTGCAAATATCCATCAACAAAATGACTTGAGTGTGTTTTAACATAACAACCAATCAGAGATATTGTATCAACGCGCAATGGATATTTTTACACTTTGAGAATTGAATGAAAGCATGGCTCATATTGTCTTTCTGTAGAGTGAGTGAGTATGGTTTTACGCCGCTTTTTACAATATTCCAGCAACATCATGGCTGGGGACACCTGAAATGGGCTTCACACATTGTACCCATGTCGGGAATCGAACCCGGGTCTTCAGCGTGACGAGCGAACGCTTTAACCACTAAGCTACCCAACCGCCCCTAAGCTGACATGAAGTGAAATAACTAAAAATACCATTCAAAACAGTGCTTAACCCACACAGAAATGCGAATGTTTACACAAATTACTGCGGGTTCAATGCTAATTTCATCGATATCGCAGAAGATGCCAATGCTTTTAAAAATCAAACACTAAGGTCGTCAGTAATACAAGCCCAAGAAAGACATTTTATACACATTCGATCTGATATGTACATGTACTACACAATCACTTATCTTGAACAAAGTACAATGGCGACCACTAGAGTATACCATCCAGAATAATTTTGTTTGTCGTTTAACTCAGCACTCAGCAATATTCGATCTCTATGAGAGCGGCTGTAAATAATGGAGTCTGGACCAGATAATCCACTGACCGATATTGTGGAAAACGATCCACAGCATCAGTGTACGATGACACCATCAACCAAGTCTCTGAGTCTGACTACCTGGACCATTGGCTGCCTCTTACAACAAGCAGAAGTTGCTGGGGCAACCAGAATCACAAATATTATGAAGCAGGGTATAAAATTAACATGAGTTCGCTAGCCTGAGACAAGCAAAATCAGGAAGGACTAGTGACATTTCCTTGTGGACAGCCAGTTTTACAATTCGGAAAATTGCATCTTTGTGCAGATAATTTTTACGGACAAGTGAAAACAAAAGTAAATTTGTAACCCTGTTAAGATCAAAAGTTCAACATTACATTTGGAAGCACATGCTAATGACAAAACATTTACATATAGTGCAGCATGTTTTAATTGTTAGCCGTGTGAAAGATCAGGTTTGCTTACCTTACATATTCATGACCCCATGAACCGATTTCTTCCTTAGACCCCTTCAGACGATACTGAAGGCTGTCACGGCCATCACTCATAGTCATGCCAAGAACAGAAACAATATCGGCACAGAAATTCTGAAATTGAGCATTAAGAGATTTTACAAGGGAAGCACTCATAAAATACACATGTCATGTGGATAACTCAGAACTATGCTTAATTTGAATACACAATCAAGTTAACATCGTACATATGGAAGTGATTTGATTGCAGGACTGCGTATCATGACTAAATGTTATTACTAGTCATCACTATTTGGGCTAGAAAACTTTATAGGTCAATTCTTATAGCTGATCATACCAAGATAATTGGATCCTCTATCCTACAATTTCAGTCCAGACTCCACAGTGAACGATGGTGAAGGAAGTCTAGATTACTCAGATTTTTCTGGATGATTTACCTGGTCAATTACAGATGCACATTTGACTGAAATTAGCCTGGTTTGACCAATTCAACTATTAATAAATATGTTATCTCATCAAAAGTTGAGTAATATACATGTCTCTATCATCTCTAACAAGGAGTCAGACAGTACTGATAGGAAATACATACCTACAGAATTCCAGCCAACTCACATTTGTATCTTGCATTTTGAAACATTAAATTTGGAATTACAAATATTTTCCAACAGTTAGTCTTCACTTGTACTATTGCCTCACACAGCATTCTTCATTGACCAGGATTTGTTGAGCTTACCTTAGTTTCAGTGTCCTTGATTTTCTCATGTATTTCCTTCATGGAATCATAGTGTTGGCGAAGAAACTTCAGTGGTTTGGGAACTGATGTCATTGATGTTGTAGAAGCCCGAATTAGAGATCGTAAACTCTCCAAAGCAGGTTTGTACAATTTATCATCTGATTCCTGAAGGGAAATATGTAACATCAGTTAGCAATTGCAGTATCATACACGTACAAACAAAATAGACATGCAACTTACAGTCGATGTATACAGTCTGCGACTTGAGCAACTGGTCTGAAGGCAGAGATTTAAAAAAATCTGTTCAGCTCAGTAAGCTAACTTAATATAAGTCCATACGACTAAAACTGAGACTACTAGACTCAATCTTCGGACTAATGACCAAATTCACCTGTAATAGTTAAAAAAAAGTAAGAAAAAAAGTAAGAAAAAAAGTAACTAATGACATAGTAACATTACTAATGCATGAAATATACGTCTTTGAGTTGCTCATGTTTCTAAATATACTCCTGACTGTCCCTGAGCATGCTGACCATGCTAAACAGCTGCTCTACATTCATTGTTCAATTCAGAGAATCATCATTATCACTACAGAAACTGAATATCTTAGTAATCATTAATACTACAGTTCTATCCTGTTAATGTTTTAGGTGATTTAAAGAATTAAAAAATTGAAAGAGTTATCACAATGAATATGATGACTACATGTGCCAAGCTAAAACACATTGGATGTACACAAACAAGTCTTGGGTACCTTCAAAAGATATCATTTGGAAGTATACTGAATTTTTTTTAGTAATACCAATTACATTTTGAATGCATCGAGTAGAAATATAGAAATTTCAGTACTTTAATATTAACGGAAAGCACAAGCACCAGGCATCATCACATGAGGAATAATTCACTTATTGCCTTCTCCACATTAATCATGTTAATGACTTATACACTCCTACCTTCAACCTCTCCACCAGCATGTCCAGTTCTTCACTGAGTAATCTGTCCTCTTCGGACTGAAACAAAAGGGATCAATACGAGTACAGTACATAGGCATTTTATCATTACCCGGGCAAGCAAAGTTTTGGAGTTTAGTTCTAAAACTGAATACTTGACACACATTGAACTTGCATTACTTTGTCACCGTTGTTTGCTGATTAATACAATTTTTAAATCTGTTTCAAATTTAGTTATGCAAAGGACTCTGTGATTACAATTTCACCATATAAACAAGGCCGGTAACACGAAAACAGGGGTCACACTCGTGTTGAGCACACGTGATGCCATCACATCTTTCAACATGATCCGAAGAGAAAGCTAATTGCGTTGCACGTGTTGAAAATAACACCAGCCTTAGGTCACTAAAGGATAATGCAAAAACAATGTCCGAAACATTGTCAACCAAATATGCAAACTTCAACTTGACGCCTCAATACCGACATGAGCATAAATGCTTGATATGACAAGGCAGTTTTGAATGCTCGGTGTTTGCTGTCCGTTGGTTTAAGATTACTAGTTAACATCAATAGGAAATCAAGCTAATTAAGAGTGAATTAATTGACCAGGTAATTATGATTAAAACTACCATTTCAATGGGTTCCTGTTTATCATCTTCCTTCTTTTTTTCGTCCTTTTTCTCAGACGCTGTTGGCTCTTTCTTTTCCTTCTTGTCCGCCATGTTTGTAGAATAACGCTGATGATCGAGAGTGCGAGATTTGGAGAGAAACGATACATTTCAATACAATTAATAATGTTTAAAATCCGTAAAGTAGTTTTAATCATAAAAAAATAGTTTCATTATAATATAGTTCTTTTATTTTATATTTTATCATTCCATAAATATATTGTAGAAGTAATACACATGTTGTATTACATAATGTTTCTCAATTTTGCACTATCATTATTAATTTCATTTACTAATTATTTTTAGAAATGTAGTTTATATGTTAATACTACTATTTTGTATTGTTATTAAGTTTTGCTTAGTGACAAAACAGCAAAAGCACATGTTCAAAATATGAGTAGTTGTTGTGTAGTGTTAGGAATATAGTATTACCCATAGACCAATGGGGCAAATATTTTTGACGGACGCCAAAGGAGCACTTGTTACAAGCGAATAGGAATAATCAACGGTAAGAACAATATTTTAAGAGCATTCACTTTTGATGTATTATATCTTCTCGACGTTCTTCGAAATAGCGAATATTCGTTGGAAGAAATGTGTGTTACTTTTGTTTTATTTGTAAATTTATGTCAACATATTCACGGCACCATCCCTCAGTTTACACGTTTCCAAGACAACTGTAAGAAACAGCTGATGCGGTTATAAAGTAATAATTTAAATGATCGGTTTATCCATGTTTATTTCTGCATTGGGCGGTTACATGTCACTGTATCGCTTCTTCATTCATCAATTTTCGCAAAGATGGTATCGATACATCTAGTTATCCGCTGATAATGTTTAATATAATTAAATCCGTACCCTGAGCTATTTAAAGTGTTCGAACAGATTATCATCTGCTTCCTTACATATGCATTTTTAGGTTTCCTGAATTTAGCTATCTTTTGTTTTCATTCCATTTTTAGAATCTAGATTAAATCATTGAAACGTCTTAGTTTAACTGACTGTTTTAAATATCAAATCATTAATATCGTTAATTAACTGCCCATGGGATCTAGGCCTAATCAATTTATGACCAAACCTATCTGTGACGGTTCACTTCCATTTGTTACACGTCATTTGTCACACGCTCTGTTTTTGCCAGTTGTCACAGAGGATAACGTGATCATTAAGACAATACCAACTGTTGCGATGGAATAATCCAACTTACTTCTAATAAGCAGTAGAAAATATGCTGAGAGCTTGAGGCACAGTTTATAGTAGACTCTATATTATCGCGGGCTCTATATTATCACGGTATCGGTACATCTCGTAATCCACATCCCCTGTCAACTGATGTAAATCACATAATCCACACCTATCACACCACAAAATAGTGATGCTGCGATAATATAGAGTTGCCTGCCCTTGAGTGGCTTATGACAGGTACTTTGTTTACCAAACTCGCTAAAGAAATTCAGCATCAATCAATCCTAACTGATGTGTAAAAAAACTTGAACAAAGAACAAGAAACATTTTGCTTATGACATATTCAATATGTTAGTCACCTTTACGATCCATTATAAAATAACTACCGCGATAATATAGCATACCATGCTACAAAGCTAATCCATTTTCGAAAACACACTGTAAACATTACTAAAACATAAAGTTGATACAAGTATTCCTATTAAACGCACCATAAACCAACACTTACTCTTTGATCTCCTTTTACTTTTAATTTGACAATTCTGCATGTAGTAGTTAACATCGGTAGAAACTAACAGTTTCAGTCCACTAGTCCTTATAATGATAACGTATAGCAAAACCCTTAAAAATGGCAAATTTCTACTGATATTATGATGGGCAGTTTGGCAAGGACTACAGGACTAGTGCCAATTTCTAACACTGAGTTAACATGTCGGCTCATCCATTTATTGTTTAGCATGATATGCTATTTTATCGCGGTAGTTATCGTAATCTTTCCTCCCACATAAAGCTGACACGCCGCGATGTAACTGGAATACTGTTAAAAGCGGCGTTAAACCCAACTCACTCACTAGTTATCGTAATGGGTAGATTGTAATGGTGCACACTTACTAAACTATCAAATATCTCATACGCAAAATGTTTCCTGTTCTTTGTTCAACTTTTATGACTATTAGGATGAACACATGAAAGACTACACTGCAACTGCAGTAGGCCTATAACAAGGATACATATTGCTCAAAGAATTGAAACAACAAAACCTACTGAAAACAATTTGGGGCTAGTTTCCAGGGCTGCATTAAGACACATTCAATATATCTTCATAAGAGATATCTTTTTAGAGTCCCCTCCCCCCCAAAAAAACATCCTCTTTAATCTTATTTCCCAAATCATCAAACAGGAACTTGTATGTACATTTGTTACGTACGGGATGAGTGAGTGAGTGAGTGAGTGAGTGAGTTGGGTTTAACACCGCTTTTAACAGTATTCCAGTTACATCACGGTGTGTCAGCTTAATGTGGGAGGAAAGCCCGAAGTGATGCAGGTCTCAGACGTTTACCACTTCGGTTAAACCCACGAGCACGGGTATGGTGCTGACAAACCTAGAAACATAATCGGGGCGAACCAGGATTCGAACCCACAATCACAGGTTTCTGGCGTACCCATTTGCAGTACGATTATTTGCAGACCGCTGTCATATAACTGGACTATTGCTGAGTGCAGCGTAAACAAACAACAAATCATTGAGAACAACTTAATTGTATTCTGTCTTTTTTGAACATGATATTCATCCATCTATATATTTGATGATCTTTTATGTGGTTTGCAGACACAAACTCACCATGGCGTCGTCAGGAGAGTGTGTCAAAGTCATAGTGCGATGTCGCCCCATGAACAGCAGGGAGAAAAACTTGAACTGTAAATGTGTTCTGGCCATGGAGAGCAGTCGAGGATCGTGCCAGATCACTAACCCCGGAGATGCGAAGGCCCCTCCCAAAGCGTTTACTTTCGATGGCTCCTATTTTACAGACTCCACAACAGAACAGATTTACAACGATATTGCCTACCCACTTGTTGAGGTTAGTCATTGATGTACTTAATGTATACAATTGTTTTATAGCGATGCATCATGAGTATTTCACAATCCGGCAAGGGAGTTAAGTGACTATTAAAGACCAGTTTTAATCTTTGCCGACCTGGCTGGAATTATGGAGTTACAATTTGGCTGGACTATCGAGTCTATGCATAGTCCAATCAAAATCGCGTAACAAAATTGACATCCGGTTTGTAAACTGCTCTGCAGATATTGGTCGATTGCAGGATTTGCAAAGTATGTGTACCACCAAATCGGCATCAACAGATATTTTCAAAACTTTTCAGGTTTTTAATCAAGGTGCTCACATGATTTGCTGCATTTCGTAAAGTAAGACTTGTTTTATCACAATATATATAGTTCTATTATCGATCAAATCGTCTTGACTGGGAGACGCCATTTTGTTTGAAGCATATGCAAGTGATATGAGAGGTGGAATCTGATTGGTCAATAGGTGGGACATAGAATGGACATAACTCATAATAGCCACTGGTGGCACTACGATCGAGCCCAGAAATTTTAGTCTAGTTTACAGTCAGTTTGCTCTCTTGCCTAGGGAAGATGGTATTTCCACAGATTTGCATACACAATGTTGCTCCTTTCACTTGAAACTATCAGACTTGTGACTGTTTTTGTGACATTTATTTAAACATATTGATTTATTTTTTCATTCATAAGTAGATATAATCACACCTGTTATTAATACACCAACAATAAGTCATTTTGATTTACAAAATGAAAATTTAAAACATATCAAATCAAGAGGATAATATATATATCTAATATATTACATGATATACTTTCTAGATAATAATAACAGATTATTATTGTTGATTGGTTGGTTGGTTGGTTAGAACTAAAGCACTACCGATTTCCCAAATGGTTTAACATCAGGTTTGATGATCTCTTCTTGTAGGGTGTGACAGAGGGCTACAATGGCACAATATTCGCTTATGGACAGACTGGATGTGGCAAGTCTTTCACTATGCAGGGAATAACAGACCCCCCATCACAACGAGGAATTATACCAAGGTAACTGTATAAAGAATTTAAAAAATAGCAAAAATTGCTGAAGAATGAATGTGCTATTAAATGAAGACATGATTGATTGACTTCTTCTGAAAATATGTACTCATATCTTTACTGAAAAATTGTATTGCAATGATGAAAAGTTGTTGAAATCTGCAAGTCACTCCTCTCATTGTGTTACCACAGCTTCCTCAAGCCTTTTGTATACTATACTCAATTATCTCCCTTTGGCCAGTTATCTCCCTTTGGCCAGTTATCTCCCTTTGGCCAGTTATCTCCAATAGACAACAATTTGTATCAGTGCTTGACAGCGGAGCTTGTAGATTATGTTCAATACCCACACAGTGACATAATCTTGTGTTTTACCTTACCTGACGCTACATAGTGCCTCAGCTTCCCTACCTTATACAAACAGACAGTTCTGGAACAGAGAGACTGTTGAAACAGGCCATAGCCTGTGACCTGATACCCAGGAGTTATCCACCTTGGTTTGTACTCCCTCATATTCATCTCTCTCTTTGCTGTCATCTGGGTTCGACCTTCCATCCAGATCAGGCAGAAACATTACCCTTTCCTTTCAATGGGTTTTGCTGACACATCTCATCCCATGAATGAAGATGTGCGGCTGCTCGTGGGGACGTCTTACCCCAGTTCATCGGTTCCCATGACAGATGCTCAACTTGTATGAATGCAGCTCTTTGCCACTCTCCCTATCCCCTGTTGGTGGCGGCCTCCACAAACTCGGCTATCCAAGAATGATTGGACAAGAATCCTTCAGAAGCTAATGAACAACTTCTCTCAGTTTTGGATTGGCAGCAATGCCAGCTTATTTATATGTCTACATATATACAGTATTGCCTCAGCTCTATCACCATTGCTCAATGCACAGCTTTCCTAAACCAGTCTTCATGGGATCCTTCCGTCAGAAACCCAAATGATGCGGCAACCTTGGTCAGGTCCTGCTCTCTTCCACAACCAGATCCCTCAAATCACAAAGGGTGCCAAGAGCGGTTTTGTCTCCTCAACAAAATGGAGCATTGCCTATCTTTATCACTATCTATCTAAAGGCCCAGTCTCACTAGGAAGAGCTCTTCCTTTCGGCCATAGCACCAATCCCCCAGAAAGGACAGGAACACAAAGGCCCCCCTACGAGGAGGTTTCCTTGGTGGGAATTGCAGACGTAAGTGACTTCTCACATGCACCTGATATCTGGCACCTCCTTCGGCCATTTGTCCCTGTCCGTTAGGACGGAGACTTCAGACTTACTGGAGGAATTGGCAGTTACTGTGGGACCAGTTCATCACTCAAATGCCATGGTTTCCGCCTACATTTCCATTCCATTCCTCCTCTCACCTCCAGGCCATTGGAACCTTGTTATTGGTCTCTAGATCTTCCAGCTCTGCAGGCCAATGTTGACACTCTTATCACCAAGAATGCAGTGGAAGCCCTGGATGTTAACAACATCATTCTTGGGTTCTACTCCTCTATCTACCTGGTTCCCAAGAAAGGTACCGTAAAGATGCAGATGATTCACAACCTTGCCATCTTCATTCAACACTACCGCCACATTTCCAGATTCTCACCATCTGTACATTTTCGCCACTTGATCCAGCCGATGGACCACCTCATCAGTCTGGAGCTGCTGGATGCTTAGCTGCACCGGACCATCCAAGCAGCACATCGTCGCTTTCTCTGTTTTGTTTTTGAGGCCATCACTTTCAGTGGAAACTGCTCCCAATTGGACTTTCACAGCCCCGTGGTTATTCACAAGTATAACCAAGCTCAACATTGCTTTTCTGCAATGGGGATTTGATTCGATGCATACTTCATCAGCTGCATCCTCGGCCACAGCATCCCTCAGGTCTTGGGCTTCACTCTTCATCATCTGGGTTGGGTGGTCAACTTGGAGAAGTCAGATCTTACTAACTCTCGCCACTACGTTTTCATCAGCGGCTGCTTTCTGACGGACCTCAACTTGATCCAAGTTCTGCCAGACCAGTTGGAAGCTATTTAATCCAGGGTTCAGCAAGCACTGTGTCAACCCCTTGACCTCCGCCACTGGCAAACCCTTCTCAGTCTTCTGACTTCTGCTCAAGATCTTACCTCCAGGGGTCATCTTCAACTGCATCCCCATCAAAGATTTCTCCTGTTTCTGCGCTTCAACGGGAACTCCCATTGATCTGATAGTAGAGTTACGCCCATTTCTGGAGTAGTGTCTAGTCCCCTCAAATGTCTTAAGCAGTACCTCTATAACAAGATGAGGCCACCCATTTTTGTCGATGCATCTCTTCAAGGATGGTGGGGGGACCGCATCCGGTCTTTGGACTCCGGACGAATGCTCCTGGTATATCAGCTATCTGGAGTTGGAAGCCTTCATTAGGGCCATTCACCAATGGCAATTGACCCTCCACAACACCTGTGTACTGGTCACCTCGGACAACTCCACCGTAGACAACAAGCAGAATCGACTCAGTCAACAGCTCTGTGAAGCAGACTTTTCATCTGTTCTGGTCAAGGCCTGTCACATCCCTGTGTGTTGCAACATGATAGCAGACTACCTGTCCAGGCCAGATCGTCCTTCACCCACGGAATGGATGCTTCATCCAGAGGCCTTCTGACTCTAGTGAGACTGCCTGGGCACGCCCAGCATGTATCTCAACGCCACACTGAGCAATCACCAACTTTCTGTGTACGTCTCGATTGTTTCGGAGCCAGCAGCCTGGGAGGAGGACTGTCTGACAATCTCCTGGGTCAGCCTAAGCACGTACGCTTTTCCATCCCCATTCTTCATCCCAAGGTCATTCACAAGGCAGACCAGACCAGGCTTCTGAGTTAGGTTTAGGTCATGCCTTACTGTCTGGCAAGAGTGTGGTTTCCTAGTCAACTCCACCTTGCCGAAGATCCTGTCCTGTGTCTACCACCTTGGCTTCTCAGCCCCCACACCAGACGGCCTCATCCTGACCCCGAAGTCTATCTTCTTCATTGTCCATGGTTTCAAGTTCAGGTCAGGTTTGATCTGCGGCCATGTCTGCCTTGGTCTCTCCTGGGACAGTTCCACATCCCGCCACTTTCGGAGATTGTCTTCCAGGTTGATTAACATGAACTCACCTCTGCCCAACCGTGTCACAGCAGCGGTGACCTGCAATATTGTCTTCTTTTTGCTCCAGTCGGTTATCATTCGTGTGTATCGCCATGCTGGCCTGCCGCCTCTTGTCGGCTCACAACCCACATGAGGTATGAGCCTCATCTCCGTACATCTGCAACTGTATTTGCCAGTTCTTATCTTCAAGGTCTCTGCAGTGACGTTGAGGGAACTCACAGCTTTGGACCCAGCAAATGCTCATGGGTATTAGGGCACGGACTATAGTCTGTTTCAACTGTCTGTCTGTTCCAGTAGTGTCTGTTTGTATCCTATAGGGAAGCTAAAGCAGGTCGTTTCAGGTCAGTATAAAAACATAGCATTTAACCCGAAAGGCTCATTTTTGTGATTTTCTTCAAAAGATAAATTGTCCAATGAGGATTATAGGGCAAAATGGATCCCCAGTACTCACTCCATGCTTGATGTACAAGGCTAGAATACCCATGGTTGGTTTGACCTTAAAGGAATGGTCCAATCCTTGCCTTATCAACTCCTGTGCAATCCGAGGAAAGGGGCTTCTCACCCTAAATTCCACCAGTATCATCACACTGTACTCCAAGCCTCATGATGACATTTTGTATTTTTTCTTTGTTGAATTTCAAAGATCTGATTCAAATTTCCTATATACTACTAGCTTCTCCTAAAATGTTTTTATGTTGATATTAGTTTTTATTCTATTCCAGAGCTTTTGATCATGTTTTTGAGACAGTGTCAGTTTCGGACGCAACAAAGTTCCTCATCCATGCCTCCTACCTGGAAATTTACAATGAAGAGATCCGAGATTTGTTGGGCAAGGATGTAAAGGCTAAGCTAGATCTGAAGGAACATCCAGAGAAGGGCGTCTATGTTAACAGTGAGTAGCAGTAGGACTCATAGTGATACATAAGATACATTACATTGCAAGTTATAAAAGCAACTGTTCAACGGTCAGCTTACGCATATTCCCTAGTTTTTCCTGGTTGGCTGTATATGACATTTACATTGCAAGTTATAAAAGCAACTGTTCAACCGTCAGCTTACGCAGATTCTCTAGTATTTCCCGGTTGGCTGTATATGACATTTACATTGCAAGTTATATATGACATTTACATTGCAAGTTATAAAAGCAACTGTTCAACGGTCAGCTTATGCAGATTCTCTAGTATTTCCTGGTTGGCTGTATATGACATTTACTTTGCAAGTTATATATGACATTTACATTGCAAGTTATAAAAGCAACTGTTCAACGGTCAGCTTACGCAGATTCTCTACTATTCCCCGGTTGGCTGTATATGACATTTACATTGCAAGTTATAAAAGCAACTGTTCAACGGTCAGCTTACGCAGATTCTCTACTATTTCCCGGTTGGCTGTATATGACATTTACGGTGCCCTCGAGCGTGTTTCTGCCCTGCAATGTCACAACTCTTTCTGAAATTTAAAAACAAATGATTCTGGGTTATGATTCACCTGCAAAAAGAAAGAATATCAAGTTATGAAATAAAAGTTCTGTATCAGGATACAAATCATATCACACCCATGGTATCGGGATATGTATCATATCTCAAATCACCTATCATTACACCTCTGGAGACCAACCAATGTTTTTGGACGAAAATAAACCAAACTCAGAGTTGTGTTATGCAGTGGAAGGCGACGATAACATATCTACCTTACATCCTAACATGAAATTATACAATTAATGGGGAACTAAAAGTGATTCTCTCATAACATATATGGGGAACTAAACATGATTCTCTTATGATGACATATGGGGAACTAAACGTGATTCTCTTATGATGACATATGGGGAACTAAACATGATTCTCTTATGATGACATGGGGAACTAAACATGATTCTCTTCTGATGACATAAGGGGAACTAAACATGATTCTCTTATGATGACATATATGGGGAACTAAACATGATTCTCTCATGATGACATGGGGAACTACAAGTGATTCTCTTATGATGACATAAGGGGAACTAAACATGATTCTCTTATGATGACATATGGGGAACTTAACATAATTCTCTTATGACATATGGGGAACCAAACGTGATTCTCTTATGATGACATATGGGGAACTAAACGTGATTCTCTTATGATGACATATGGGGAACTAAACATGATTCTCTTATGATGACATGGGGAACTAAACATGATTCTCTTCTGATGACATAAGGGGAACTAAACATGATTCTCTTATGATGACATATGGGGAACTAAACATGATTCTCTTATGACATATGGGGAACCAAACGTGATTCTCTTATGATGACATATGGGGAACTAAACATGATTCTCTTATGATGACATGAGGGGAACTAAAAGTGATTCTCCTCAACAAGTTGTTTCAATTGATTTTTTCTAAGACTTGGTATGTATTGCCAGGTTTATCTATGCATCCTGTACACAATGTGAAGGAGTGTGAACGCATCATGGAGAAGGGATGGAGGAATCGGTCCACCGGGTCCACGTTGATGAATGCCGACTCATCACGCAGTCACTCCATCTTCACCATCTGCATGGAGATGGCCACGGAGGATGACGAAGGGGAGGAACATATACGTGCAGGCAAACTCAACCTGGTGGACTTGGCAGGAAGTGAGAGGCAGGGAAAAACAGGTAAACAGTCTGTGATGGTCTTTGTTGTGATTGGCAATCTCATATTTATATATATATGTATGTCCACCTTACAGTTAACTGACTACAAAAGTCCAGTTTCCACCCTTGCCGAACTAGGCAGGTATTATGGAGTTAAAATTTGGCTGGACTAACGAGTCTATGCATACATAGTCCAATCAAAATCACACATCGAAATTCGGTTCGTAAACTGTCGTACAGATTTCGGTCGATTGCAGGATTTACAACTCATTGTCAACAGATATTTCCCAAGTCTTTTCATGTTTTTGACCAAGGTGCTCGTGTAATTTGATGCACTTTGTGATTTAAGACCCATTTTATCACAATATAGATCTTGATTATCGATCACATCGTCTTGACTGGGCCATTTTGTTTGAAACAAATGCAAATGATACTAGGGGTGGAATCTGATTGGTCCATAGGAGAGGCCTAGAAGGGACATAACTCGTAATAACCACTGGTGGCGCTACGATCGAGCCCAGGAATTCCAACCTAGTTATGAAAAACACATAGTGAACTTTTTAATGCAACATTTAGATGGTCTTGTTTAATATACTGTTGCCCTGTGAAGATCCGGGGTAGAATAGGTCTTCAGCAACCCATGCTTGCCGTAAAAGGCGAATATGCTTCTCGTAAGAGGCAACTTACGGGATCGGTGTGACATGACATCGGTCCCAATTGCGTGGATCAATGCTCATGATGTCAATCACTGGACTGTCTGGTCCAGACTTGATTATTTACAGACCGCTGTCATATAGCTGGAATATTGCTGAGTGCAGCATTAAACAAACAAACCAATCAATCTAATGCGACATTCTGTCTAGTCTAACAAAAGGTTTTGGTTCTAGTACAGCCCCCCAGGGGCGGTCGGGTAGCCTAGTGGTTAAAGCGTTCACTCGTCACGCCGAAGACCTGGGTTTGATTCCCGACATGGGTACAATGTGTGAAGCCCATTTCTGGTTTCACCCGCCGTGATATTGTTGGAATATTGCTAAAAGCGGCATAAAACCATTCTCACTCACTCACTAGTACAGACCCCTACATTATCATATATTATCTCGGCGTCATTCGACATCTGTGCATTCTGAATTCTGTCCCTGTTTTGTGTTCCATGAGCAAATCCACCCTGTGTAATCTGACTTCAACACTTAGGCTTTGTTCCCACATTAAGCTGAGGCACCATGATAGAGCATTTGTCAGACAGAAATTAGTTGTCATTGTTTTGAAATTTTTGCAAAGGAACTGCTGTGACTAGTGGTTTGTAAACACAGATTTGCCCTGATGATAGCTCAGCTCATTTCATTCATATAAGGGTAACGCTATTTTTAAGGGCATTATCATTTGCAGATGCCTGAGGTCTTCCATTAACGGCCCGACGAGGAGGGCTTCTGAAATGATAATGCACTGAAAAATAGCGTTACCGTTATTATAGCCAAAATGGATGGAATTTGTTATCAAATAAAAAGAAACAACAATATCGGTTTTGAAACATTTACTGCAATCAACACGAATGCCACTGACCCACTTTTACAAATATGGAAACGTCATAGAACAAACCAGATGACGTCACTATTCAACGTGACGTCACCTATCCCTATCCTATGACGTCATCTAACAAAGGGCGTGATAATGGTCCGTCGTCAAGTAATATGAGGGCATTATCAAGTTACAGTGGCCCGCTGATTTCTGATAACATACGGGCGGTTTAATGATAATTCTATTCATTTTAGCTGAGCGGAGGTCAGTGAATCGATTCAGGGCCATGTCATACCAAAAGACGTTAAAAGATGGTACTTGTTGTTACCCAGCCTGGCGCTTGGCATTAAGGGACTGATCGGCTCAATCAGTACACTGTGTCTGAGTGGGGTATCCATGTCAAACTGCGGCATGGTATCTCAGTGGACTAGCACTTTAGATTTGTTTGTTTCTTGTTTAACACCCCACTTAGCAATATTCCAGCTATATGACGGCGGTCTGTAAATAATCGAATCTGGACCAGAAAATCCAGTGATTGACATCATGAGCATTATCTCCCTTAGGCTTTGCTTCCACATGAAGCTGAGGTACCATGATATAACTGGAATACTGTTCAAAGCGGCATTAAACCGAACTCACTAACTCTGTTTCGCAGGTGCCACAGGTGATCGACTGAAAGAGGCCACTAAGATCAACCTGTCTCTCTCTGCCCTGGGTAACGTCATATCAGCCCTAGTTGATGGTAAGTCAAAGCATATACCATACAGAGACTCCAAGCTGACCCGGCTGCTGCAAGACTCACTGGGAGGCAACACCAAGACCATGATGGTGGCGTGTCTGTCTCCTGCTGACAACAACTACGAGGAGACCATCAGTACGCTCCGCTACGCCAACAGGGCCAAGAACATCAAGAACAAGCCCAAAATCAATGAAGACCCTAAGGATGCTCTCCTCCGAGAGTACCAGGAGGAGATCGAGAAGTTGAAGGCCATGCTGATGGGTCAGATGCCACTTGCTGATGGCTTTTCTGGTGAGTTGTTAGACAGAAATTAGTTTTCATTGTTTTAAAATCTTTACTAAGGAACCACTGTGATTACTGGTTTGTATATCGCAAATTTGCCCTGATGATAACTCAGCTCATTTCATTAACTATCATTTACAAGTGGCCTAGTGGTGAAATGTTTGTTGGGAGCCATATCATACAAAAAGACGTTAATACATGGTACTTGTTGTTACCCTGCCTGGTGCTTGGCATTAGGGGGATAAAACAAGGACTGATCGGCTAGAGTCAGTATACTGTGGCACGTCAGAAGCCTATGATTATGCCACACTTATGTTTCTTGATTTGTCAGCACCATACCCATGCTCGTGGGTTTCACCAAAATGGTAAACGTCTATGACCTGCATCATTTCTCCCACATTATTATGATATAATATAACTAGAATGCAGTTCAAAGTGGAATTAAGCCTAACTCACTCACTTTATTTGGAACACGACACTACATACTCTTTCGTGGTTTAGGTGTACAGAAAGCAGCCCAGGCCAAGGCTAACAGACAGTCACCAGGGGGCGTCACACGGGAAGAGCTGGAGGCAGAGAAGGAGAGACTGAGAGAGGTAGTGTAGATTCTGCAGGGAGAAATACTTAGCACAATTGTGAAGAGCATGGATGGCGCTGTGGTCATCACGTCACACTGTGCAGAGTTCTGCCCCTTAGCTGCCAGGATCTGCTGGGTTGGTTTTGAAAAACTGGTTGAATGAAAAATTGTGATTCTGATCTGTCTGTGCCATGCCCATTTTTGTGAATTTCACCAAAAATGTTATTTCTTATATTTAGAGCTTTAAGTCCTTTTTCATGACATGTAGTGATATAATTATAAGTAATACAGTGTTCACAGCACATATTAATCCCGACATACTCTCTCACTTTAGTTTTCCTTTAAGTGGACAAAGGTTTATGTTGTATTTCCCCCAAATACAGCACATTATGGTAAATGATATGTCAATTGCTAATAAACATACAGAATTAAAATGTCAATCAATTAACAGGGTTTCAGATCGGCTCATTTCTTGGACATTGACCCATCTTGAGACATTAAAATTAGATCTTAGTGCTCGCTACTGCTACATAAAGATCTGAGGATACACCATTAGAGGTCGCGTCAGAACTACCTTTCAAACACTTTGACACAAATGAAATGACTAACATGAAGTCGACATTAGTCAATGAGAAAGCAGCTTTCTTGAGGTTTACAGCAATAGTTTTTAACAGGTGACTTCCATTCTAGACTACGCCTTCCAACTGAGATTTTATAGCAGTACAAAAGTCTCTCCGGTTTTAAATGTTTATCCTACTGAAGTGAGAGATAGATGATGATATTGATGGACAGCCCGTAACTGTAATTCGGAATGCCTTGTATTAACCTTTTCATACTCCAATGAACTCACACAAAGAGAAAGTCAATTCATGATTATATCATAAGAGATCTGTTTGTCTTCCATGTCTTGATACATAAGTCATCTAATGCACTGCAATTTGCTGTGCAGAGTTGCGTCCCTTGGGCAAGCCAGAAACCTGTGCTTGTGGCTTCTAATCCCGGTTCACCCTGATTGTGTTTCTAGGTTTGTCAGCACCATACCAGTGCTTGTGGGTGTCACCAAAGTGGTAAATGTCTAAGATCTGCGGGGCGGTCGGGTAGCCTAGTGGTTAAAGGGTTTGCTTGTCACGCCGAAGACCCAGGTTCAATCCCCGACATGGGTACAATGTGTGAAGCCCATTTCTGGTGTCCCCCACCGTGATATTGCTGGAATATTGCTAAAAGCGGCGTAAAACCATAATCACTCAATCACTCTAAGATCTGCATCACTTTGAGCTTTCCTCCCACTTTAAGCTGACATGCAATATATTCCTGGAATACTGTTAAATGTGGCGTTAAATCAAACTCACTCACTCTTCATGAGGAGCAGCTGGGATGAAGGTTCAGAGAATACTTTTCTGTGTTTACAGGAGTATGAGACACGGATGGATGACATGGCAGATAAGTATGAGATGGAGAAAGTTGGGAAGGCCAAGCTTGAAGAAGACATGACCAAGCTCCGTAGCTTTTATGATGAACAGCTGCGGTCAGTGGACGGTCAGCTGGCTCACTTGCCTCCATCAGCAGCAGGTAATAGTTGCACTAATTTCCTTTCCCCTTTTGATCTAATCTTTTCCATACTTGCTTCTTCAAAAGTAAACCTTTTAAATAGATAGTGATAGTTGTTTAACAGCTTCAGCTTTGTAGATAAGTACTATTCATTTTCTTTCATCTTTTTGCTTTGATTTCTAAATTTAAATATGTAAGTACTGTACATATCAATAAAAAAATGTAGAATAAAATTTGTATGACTATGAAAAAAGTTACCGTATTCGACGTAATAAGCGCCCAGGGCACTCTTAGAATTAGAAATAGGGGGCTCTTATTAGAATATGATTTTGGTGAAAAGAAAAGATCGTAAATTTCATGGTTTATGCTGACAGCCTGAAATGATACAAAAGAAATGTCTGTGCGTATTATACACGACAAACATATGTTTCCAGAATTTAATTGCCTATAATTAAGGGTCCATATAACACAAGAATGTGTATTATACACGAATTAATAAGTCTTGTGTACATTGATCAATCGGAAGGGGTGCCAATTGGGATTGTTCACCAGCCAATATATTAGCAAATATCGCTGGGGGCACTTATTAGATCGGGCGCTTATTACATCAAATACGGTATTTAGAATGATGAGACTGGTAAGTAAAAGGATGACATACCGTAGAAAAGCTTTAAAGTACAGAATTTTTCTATGGGTCTCTTCAGTTTCTCACAGCTCAGCTCTTAGAATTTCAATCTGGGATTACTTAAAACTTTGTTGTCGTGACGGACATAATTTTATTCGTTGGTGATCCATTGTTCAATGTGTTGATGTCGTCTAAGTTTGTAAAGATCAATATTGATGTGAAATTGTTTTTGATCCTTAGTGCAACAGTGCTCCTCATCGGATAGTCAAGTCAATTTGTTGTCATACATATATATACTTTTTCTAGAACAGCTGGTCCTATGCAGGGTTTAAATATAGCTAACAATATAGGGTGTTGCTGTGTTTGCAAAAAAATATTTGAAAGTGATGCAAAAAATACTCTTTACAAATAGATTGATCATGGAAATATATTAAAATCTCGAGCAAGAGTACGGTGTAACAACCCATTTGCCTAAAGCACAATGGCGTCAATTAAGGATGCTTTAGAGAATTCAATTAATTTTCTTTATATATCAGCTTGAATTATTTTTTTGGTTATGATCTACTTCTTAGTAATCATGGTCATGTGATTTGAAATTGATTGAGATAAATGATTCATAGATTGAGTGAGCCAAAAAAACCATTCCTTAATAAATATCATTTTTGCTCAGAAACAACTTTTTCTAACTATCTCCAGATAGAAATAATGATGTCATATTCTAAATGTTCTATTAACACCTTTATCCAACTTTGTTTGAAATGATTACTTTTTGAAGCTGAATGTATGGAAGAATGTTAATATTTCTTTGTCCATTGTGATATTGACATCCACCACATGATGCTATTTCTCATGAACTAATTTCAATTACTAAAAGTTTGCAATCAACATGACACTGCCGTTAGAGTCCAATGCTATTTTAAGTACTAGATGTGCTATGTACACCCCATGTAATTGACTAATTGCTTACTACCTCATCACTGGCAGTGCTTGGAGAAATAGAGTGGTCACAAGAGGGAGTGAAGGACAGTGAGTGACAAGTTTGACTATTTCAGAGTGACGTGCATGTTGTTGATCCATGTCAGTTTCTTGCTCTCACACACCGGTTTACCTACACACTCACCAGTTTCACAGTTTGTTCGCCTTTTGCAATCAATCTCACCACAATTGACAACTTGTACATTTCTGTCATGGCGATTGATGTATCTGGTTTGATTGATTGGTGTTAATATCAAGTCAAATTACAATTCTAATGAAATAATTGTTGTGAACACAGTTAAGGATTGTATGTTTTAGATTCAATTGAACTGGTACAATGAATCATTGTCTTTTTGATGTAACTCCGTTTGGATATATATACTGTAGTGCACAATGGATGTTTAATATTGTTTGAATATTGAAATGTAGTCATGAAGACGTTTCATTTCATCTCTTTTTAGTTATGATTCATATGTTTAAATAGACATTTTGTATCCCCTTATCCCCATGTATACTACTGAAAAGAAGTTAAGGGCCACCTGATTCTTTCATGTCATGATGTTAATATATCATGACACATTAAGTACAGTAATATGAAAGAATCATGGCATGACACATTAAGTACAGTAATATGAAAGAATCATGGCATGACACATTAAGTACAGTAATATGAAAGAATCATGGCATGACACATTACCTATAGTAATATGAAAGAATCGTGGCATGACACATTACCTATAGTAATATGAAAGAATCGTGGCATGACACATTAGCTACAGTTATATGAAAGAATCATGGCATGACACATTACCTATAGTAATATGAAAGAATCGTGGCATGACACATTACCTATAGTAATATGAAAGAATCGTGGCATGACACATTAACTATAGTAATATGAAAGAATCATGGCATGACACATTAACTACAGCAATATGAAAGAATCATGGCATGACTCATTAACTATAGTAATATGAAAGAATCATGGCATGACATATTAACTACAGCAATATGAAAGAATCATGGCAAGACACACTAACTAGAGCAATATGAAAGAATCATGGCATGACACATTAACTACAGCAATATGAAAGAATCATGGCATGACACATTAACTACAGCAATATGAAAGAATCATGGCATGACACATTAACTACAGCAATATGAAAGAATCATGGCATGACATATTAACTACAGCAATATGAAAGATTCATGGCATGACACATTAACTACAGCAATATGAAAGAATCATGGCATGACACATTAACTACAGCAATATGAAAGAATCATGGCAAGACATATTAACTACAGCAATATGAAAGAATCATGGCATGACACACTAACTAGAGCAATATGAAAGAATCATGGCATGACACATTAACTACAGCAATATGAAAGAATCATGGCATAACAAATTAACTACAGTAATATGAAAGAATCATGGCATGACACATTAACTATAGTAATATGAAAGAATCATGGCATGACACATTAACTATAGTAATATTAAAGAATCATGGCATGACAGGTTAACTCGAGTAGTATGAAAGAATCAGATGGTCTTTAACTTCTTTTGAGTAGTAAGTCATCAACTTGAACTATTGATTATAATTCATTCTAGAAACAAACAGTGATGCCTCTCAAATTTGATGGCAGTAGAAATGAAAACAACTTTTATCTGAAGCGTCAATTTCAAAATAAGGCTGATTACCCACAGCAGTGTCTCATTTCACTTTGACTGACACCATCCAGAACAGTAGAAGTTGTCAATATCAGTTTTATTACACATACCAGGCTTTCTGTGGCCAGGCTTGTGTTGTTAATCAATTTCACATGCATTTGCTTGTATAATGTGGTTATTTTGAAATGATTTCTTTTTCAGCTATGCTTGCAACATAGGGAATGTATCCTTGTGCTTTGAATACCTAGAAAATATAATGCCATTAATAGTATGCTTGTATATGCTACTTGTAGCTTACTTGTATCGTCTTGGTAACCGTTGCACAGGAAAGCTACATTATGATCATCTGTTTGAAGAAAATGAATGTTTTTGCTGTTTTTTTAATATTTTTTATTGGTATTACTGGTTATAAGTGAATTGGCTTTTTATGTGTTCTGAAGTTTTAAAATGGGAATGTTTTGTTTTGTTCCGTAGACCAAAACTTAAATTGATAAAAGCAATTTCAATCACAGTAAATTTAGTGGCCATGTCTATTAAGTTCTGTTAAGGAGTCAGTGGGGTAGCCTTGTTGTTTAAGTGATTTCTGACCACAACGAAGACCGGGTTCAAATCCACACATGGGTTCATTGTGTGAAGCTGGTTCTTTTGCATGGAATATTGGTAAAAGAGATGTGAAACGATGCTCATTCAATTCTGTTTTGTTAGAAATCGGGGACGTTTACTGTTTGCATTTATTACTTGTTTTTTAGTCAACACGACAAGAATTCATAGTTTAGAAATACCATGAATCAATATGTGGCATGTCCACTTCGTAACTGATAGTATAGTGATACTGTATGTGAGTTAAGAACAAATTGGGGTAGCCTAGTGGTTAAAGCGTTCGCACGTCACGCTGAAGACCTGGGTTTGATTCCCCACATGAGCACATTGTGTGAAGCCAATTTCTGGTGTCCCACCGCTGCGTTATAGCTGGAATATTGCTGAAAGTGGCGTAAAACCATTGTCACTCACTATGATCAGATTACTATGAACACCCATGCCCTCTATAAGGAATTCCCAATACAGTTTGCAAGTTGTTGGAGTTAATCGATGCATGTGCCTCTTGCTGCATTTGGCTTTTGTATATATATATATATCCCATATGTTATACAGACTGTTTTTCCTATGCTGAATCCCCAAGTTGGATATGTATATTTCAAGTTTATTACCTATGCAGCAACTGTCAAACTGATGTATAGCATTACTTAATTGTTTATTTAAGTGAAGTTGGGCAATGCCATTGTGGGTGTATCAGTTTTAATTGCTAGTTCCTTCTCTTGAAATTTATGCTGCTGTCCCAGTTTGCCCCAATTATGTTTCTAGGTTTGGCAGCACCACATTGTGCTCGTGGGTTTCATTAAAGTGATAAATGTCTGAGACCTGGATCATTTCAGGCTTTCCTCCCACACTGACTGAGTGAGAGGGTTTAACACCGCCTTTAACAGTATTCCAGTTATATCGCGGCGTGTCAGCTTAATGTGGGAGGAAAGCCCCAAGTGATGCAGGTCTCAGACGTTTACCACTTCGGTGAAACGCACGAGCACATGTATGGTGCTGACAAACCTAGAAACATAATCAGGGCGAACCGGAATTCGAACCCACAATCATAGGTTTCTTGCGTGCCTAAGGGACGCAACTCTGCCTTAGACAACTGGGCCACCTGTGCACCCCCTCTTCCCACATTGAGCTGACGTGTCTTCATATAACTGGAATACTGCTCAAAGTGGTGTTAAACCCAACCCACTCACTCACTCATACTGCTGATTTCCAAACTGAAACACAAAGCTTAATCCAGAAATCGGTCTTACAGAACTGAATTGTGACATGGATACATGATCACACAAGATTAATGAATAATTAACAAGTTATATTGAAACCCACAGTATTAGTTTTTCAATCACAAAAGGCAATACAATAGGTCAAATATGTGGCAGCAGCATCAAGAAACAGACCCTATGATATAAATCGGAGCACTCACTAATGTCCAGAATATTTTAACTGTTGATTCTGAATCAGGAAGAGTGTTGGAAGCTGGTGTGAAGGTGGTATTTTCAGACAGGTCCTCACTTGACAAGAAGACGAGAAGTAAGTCAGGTCATAAAAGGCCTCAAATCTCCCTCGTGTTGCTCCCAGGCTTATGGAAACACCCACACTGCGAAATTGCTCGAATGCAGTACTGCATGTCTTGTTTGTCCACAAGGTAACTCTGTTTGTTGTTTAACGCCACACTCAGCAATATTCCAGCTATATGACGGCGGTCTGTAAATAATCGAGTCAGGACCAGACAATCCAGTGATTGATATCATGAGGATCGATCCACGAAATTGGGATCGATGACATGCATCGACCAAGTCAGCGAGTCTGACCACCCGATCCCGTTAGTCGCCTCTTACGACAAGCATAGTTGCCTTTTACGGCAAGCATGGGTTGTTGAAGACCTATTCTACCCTGGATCGTCAGGGGTCGGAATTGCTGTGGAATCTCGCTGTGATATTGCTCAACTGTATAGGTGAGGACCTACTCTACCCTGGATCTTCACATGTGTAATGTCAGTCTGTATACTCATAATCCCCGACCACGTCATACCAAAAGACGTTAAAAGATGGTACTTGTTGTTACCCTGTCTGTCGCTCGGCATTAAGGAGCTAAAACAAGGACTGGTCGGCTCGGAGTCAGTATACTGTGTCTGAGTGGGGAATTCATGTTAAACTGTGGCATGGTATCTCAGTGAGCTAGCACTGAAAAATCGGCATCAGTCCGGACTAGCACACACACACACACACACACACCACACACACCACACACACACCACACACCACACACCACACACACCACACACACACACACACACACACACACACACACACACACACACACACACACACACACACACACACACACACACACACACACACACACACACACGTCGCTATATAAGTGCAATAATGTTGGACGCTACGTTAAACCCTATTTCACCTCACCTCACCTGTATACTCATATGAAAAATTTGGGTGTTCTATTACTTCTTTTGAGTAGTATGTTCACCAGGATTATATTCGGAGCTTAGTGTACTCATAAAAGTTATATCATTAGGTGCATGGGACAGGAGGCAGTATAGTAATTCAAATGATCAGTTTGAACAGTTCTATAAAGGGGAATAATCGTCACCAGGACATTGTTTTCACTTATCACTTGTTTGTGTTCTTTGCTTTGTGTTAGAATTTTGAATGTTTCACGGGTTACATATTGTTTGTCTAGGTGGGGCTTGACGGGTACACTCATCAGTGTTGTCAGAAGAGATACTTTAATGTTGTTTGGGTTTTAATGTTGGTTTTTGCATTTTGATTGGTGGAAAACTATTTGCATTCAAATATATGTTTTATTAATCCATTTCTTTCAGTTAGCCCAGAATGAGTGTGTTTTACTAATTATGACAACTGTTTGAATTAATACTTCATATGCACACCATGACGTAAATTCATTGTGATTTCTGATAACCATTTTCCCAAAATCTGCTACCGTATTCGACGTAATAAGTGCTATGCTCTTATGAGCGCCCACAGCGATATTTACTAATATATTGGCTAGTGAACAATCCCAATTAGCACCCCTTCTGATTCATCAATGTACACTAATTTATTCGTGTATGATACGCATTTGTGTGTTAAATGCACCCTTAATTATGGGCAATTAAATTCTGGAAAATATATCTGCCATGTATAATAAGCACAGACTTTTCTTTTGTATCATTTCAGGCTGTCAGCATAAACCCCGAAATTTATGATCTTTCAACTCTGTTTTTTCTCTCACCAAAATTATATTTTTATAAGAGCCCCCTATTTTTAATTTTGAGAGCGCTTATTACGTCAAATACGGTAATTCAAGCCTTTGAAAACCTTTTCACCTATTTTCTAGCTTATTCATGAATATTAAATGTCTCCTGTGTTATCAGAACAATCTCCTGAAGCAGTAGGTGACAATGATGAAGAGGAGGAGGAAGAAGGGGAATTTCAGGAAGAAAGACCAACGAAACCTCGGAAGAAGGCCCGGTCAGGGACTTCCACTAGAACCAGTGGACGTGATGAACGTCCAGGATCGGCAGCTCCACGTGAACGGCCGACATCAGTGATGTCCGCAAATGACTTGCCAAGTGGACCGGGTAAGATTTGTGTTTTGTTTGTTGTTTAACGCCGCACTTAGCAATATTCCAGCTATATGACAGCAGTCTGTAAATAATCGAGTCTGGACCAGACAATCCAGTGATTGATATCATGTGCATCGATCTACGCAATTGGGATACGATGACATCCATCAACCAAGTCAGCGAGTCTGACCACCCGATCCCGTTAGTCACCTCTTACGACAAGCATTGTCACTTTTTACGGCAAGCACAGTCGCTTTTTACGGCAAGCATGGGTTGCTGAAGACCTGTTCTACCCTAAATCTTCACTGGTTGGAATTGCTGTGGAATCTTGCTGTGATATTGCTCAACTGTATATGCTGATAGGCTGTTGATAATGTACACTTGTCCAGTTTTACATTTTAAATGGATCAATGTCTTCTTTGAATATGGCCACAAATGGTAATCGGGATAGAATGTGCTTTGAATTATGTGTTTGTTGGATACTGGTAAAGACACATGTTATTGAGATAGATATTTTATAAAATGTACATACAGGACTAAAAAGTTAGTGATGAGAAACTCTTCATGGTGAGTTAAATTATAATTTGAATTTGACCCCATTGATAATTTCTAAAAACAGTATGAAGGATGTCGACTGGGATGTGGCCATTAAGCATCCTGAACTGTCTGCAAAAAATGCAATCCTGTTAAACTAAAATAACTAAAATCCAATACCATTACCATGATATGTTATCTGTATCTGAAGTGCACCTGGCCCTAAAAAATATTGTGACTTGATATTGTTTGATTCAAACAGTTCGGGTTTAATTGAACTATATGAATTTTGAAAATAGCTTTCTCAGAAAAAGACCCGTGAAGATTCTGGGGTAGAATAGGTCTTCATCAACCCATGCTTGCCGTAAGAGGCGACTATGCTTGTTGTAAAAGCGACTAACGGGATCGGGGGGTCAGGCTCGCTGACTTGGTTGATGCATGTCATCGATCCCAATTGCGTAGATCGATGCTCATGATATTAATCACTGGATTGTCTGGTCCAGACTGGATTATTTACAGACCGCCCTCATATAGCTGGAATATTGCTGAGTGCGGCGTTAAACAACAAACCAACCAATCTTAGAAAAACGTTACTAAGGATCAGCACACATCCTGATAATTTTATTTTTTTTAATATAATGTTAGTATTCCATAAATTTGATGTATGTATACTTGTGTCAAGTATTCTGGCTGTGTATATTCTGTGCAGAACTGCGTTCCTATTAGGGCTGGGATGAGACCAAATTTTCTACCCCGGGTACCCACACCCCTATTACCCAACCCTACCCAGGTACCTGCTGTTGGTGTCAAGAGATATGTACAAACTGTCCGATAGCGAATAGTTTGACAGTAGCCCTGGCAGAATGTATTTAGATACACGTAGAAAACGATGTGGTCATACATGGACTGAAGTTGATTGAAGATTTGGCTTTGTTCAAACATATATAAATCAGAAGGAATGTGTTCATAGTCATGAAGAAATGCGAACATTAGAGACTTAAAATTGTCATGTAACTATATAGTGAATTTTTATCATGAAACAATAGATCACATGACTAACCACGGGTCCGGGTAGTCCTGTGGGTACCTGGGTCCTACTCAGTACCCAACCGACCCGAGTACCCAGTTAACCGTCCCAGCCCTAGTTCCTATGGCAACCTTTGATCTCGGTTCAAATCCAGTTTTACCCGATTATGTTTCTAGCTTATCAGCACCATAGCCATGCTCGTGGGTTTCACCGAAGTGATAAACTTTTAAGATCTGCATCACTTTGGGCTTTCCTCCCACATGAAGCTTATACGCTGTGATATTTATAATTCGAATAATGTAAAAAGCAGTGCTAAACCCCACTCACTCACTCACTGGTTGTATGTTACAGAGATGGAGTACATGGACCCACAGGGCGAAGCAGTAGAAAGAGAGACAATGGCCAGTGTAAGTACATAAATGTGACTTCATAATTATTTCAAAGGTTCAAAAACATGTTTCAAAAATTGTGTATTTAGAACTTAGAATAGTGTAATGTTGTGTTCCAAAATAAGATCTATGGTATTTTTATTGTGTATTATGTTATCAGCGTGGATCTGAGGGTGAGAGTGCAGCTAGTCAGGTGCTGACCAACACCCCAACGGATGCTCCTGGTCAGCAGCAGCAGCAGCAGCAGCAGCAGCAGGCCACTGGTCAGATACAGTCCGAGGAGGCAGTCAGGAAGTGAGTCAAGTTACAATATGGTTAAGGCTAAAAAAAATAATAGTCTTGGTTCTCAGGCACCGCCCGCATCATCATGAAGACTGCCACACGTTTCATTTTTATTTCCAGATCTTAAAAAAATCTAATATGGCACACAGTTATTTCCTTTTACATGCACACTGCTTTACTGTGCATCTCGTGTTATGGTCATGGCAGCAATGGGAGTTTGTATGCTTGTTTATATAGTGTCCAAGTTGATGGTATACAACTGTTTATTTGGGAACATACTAGTTTGAACAAGCAAAAAAAAAAAGAAAATGCCACCTGTCCCTACTCTATTTTCAAAAGTCATTGCCTGAGAACCAATTTTTTAATTTTTTTTAAGCCTAAATGACTCTGGTGGGGATTCCAGGGTAGAATAGTTCCCTGTACGTCCTGCTTGTCGTGAGACCGTGCAAGGGGATTGGGTGGGCACAATACGTGGATTGGGTGATCCACAATATGGGACCCAGTTGATTGAATAGCATCGTGCTGTGTTTTTTTTTTGTTTTACGCTACACAGCAATATTCCAGCTGTATGATGGTGGTATGTAAATAATCAAGCATGGGTTCGCTGTAGGCCAATTCTAACCCAGATTTTCACAGGTTCATAATACCTGATTACATTGCTTGTTGGTCATTTGTTTGTTTACCTGACCATGCTTGAATTTCGGATAATGCAACAACTGCGTTCACTCACTCAAACTAATTTGTTATTATGAATGGCCTATGGACATTAAGCTAAAAGAGTCATACTATTGCCTGTATGCCTCATGGTTTTGTTCATGTTGAATGCCTCATGGTTTTGTTCATGTTGATTGTTTCTCATGTCTAAAACTGTATTATCCAACATCAGAAAGACTGTATTGTTCCTCTGGTAACCGACTGTATTGTGTCCTGTGACAAAGACTATAGTCCCTCATGTCACCGTCTGTTTGTTCTTCATGACAAAGGTTGTTGTTATCTGTATTGCTCCTCGTGTCACAAACTATATAGTTCCTTATGCTAAAGACTGTATTGTTTCTTATGCCAAAGACTGTATTGTTCCTTATGACGAAGACTGTATTGTTCCTTAGGACGAAGACTGTATTGTTCCTTATGACAAAGAATGTATTGTTCCTCATAACAAAGACTGTATTGTTCCTGATGACAAAGACTGTATAGTTCCTCATGACAAAGACTGTATTGTTCATTGTTCCTTATGATAAAGACTGTATAGTTCCTTATGACAAAGACTGTATTGTTCCTTATGACAAAGAATGTATTGTTCCTTATGACAAAGACTGCATTGTTCCTCATGACAAAGACTGTATTGTTCATTGTTCCTTATGACAAAGACTGTATAGTTCCTTATGACAAAGACTGTATTGTTCCTAATGACAAAGACTGTATTGTTCATCATGACAAAGACTGTATTGTTCATCATGACAAAGACTGTATTGTTCATTGTTCCTTATGACAAAGACTGTATTGTTCCTTATGACAAAGATTGTATTGTTCCTTATGACAAAGAATGTATTGTTCCTTATGACAAAGAATGTATTGTTCCTTATGCCAAAGACTGTATTGTTCCTTATGCCAAAGACGGTATTGTTCCTTATGACAAAGACTGTATACTTCCTTATGCCAAAGACTGTATTGTTCCTTATGACAAAGACTGTATTGTTCCTTATGACAAAGAATGTATTGTTCCTTATGACAAAGATTGTATTGTTCCTTATGACAAAGAATGTATTGTTCCTTATGACAAAGACTGTATACTTCCTTATGCCAAAGACTGTATTGTTCCTTATGACAAAGAATGTATTGTTCCTTATGACAAAGAATGTATTGTTCCTTATGACAAAGAATGTATTGTTCCTTATGCCAAAGACGGTATTGTTCCTTATGCCAAAGACGGTATTGTTCCTTATGACAAAGACTGTATACTTCCTTATGCCAAAGACTGTATTGTTCCTTATGACAAAGACTGTATACTTCCTTATGACAAAGACTGTATAGTTCCTTATGACAAAGACTGTATTGTTCCTTATGACAAAGAATGTATTGTTCCTTATGACAAAGACTGTATACTTCCCTATGACAAAGACTGTACACAAAGTTTATTGTTCCTCATGTCACTGTCTGTAATGTTCTTCATGACAAGGACTATTGTTCCTCATGTCACTGTTATCACCGTTGTGCAGACGTCTTGAGGAACTTCAGCAGCAGATGGTTGGAGGAGAGAACAAGAACAACCGTGAGGTGAAGGAGAGGAGGAAGAAGAGGAAGAGATATGCTGAAGAGCGGAAACAGAAGCTTGCAGGTATGAACTGTTGAGAAATAGTCACAGATCACGCCCTCTCAGCCATTTCGATCTGTACTTGAAGCTGTCTAGAGACCAGTGTCCACCTTTCCTTTTATCTCACAGTATATACTACTTAAAAGAAGTTAAGGAACACATTTTTTTCATATGACCACAGTTAATCTCTCATGGCCTGACAAATTAACGATGGTCATATTAACAAATCGGGTGCTCTTTAACTTATTTTGAGTAGTATATATTAAGTTGTATTGTGATACATGTCTGTAATTGTCTGTGCTTGTCATCATTGCATTTCCAGAATTAGCTTGATGTCCATTCAATTTCTTTTTCTGGGAAACTTTGCTCTCTTATTAACATCATGATCATACTAAATGTCTGTAGATTGAGGTTTGTACAGGCTTGAAAAAGACTTGAATTATTGTAAGGCCCTCTTGAAAAGCCATGTTTTTTAGTGTCAACCTTGAAAAGCCTTAACAATCACCAAAATGGCTTGAAATTTGAAAAACAAATGATATAGATATATACTTGTTTTTGAAAGTATTAAATTTCTGTTATTTGTTGGTTGTGAAAGTAAATCTTGTTGGAAAATTTGTTATGTTTATATTGCTTCTTAGGTCTTACAACTGATATATGGTATGCTGGATTTAAGAAAAAAAAAGAGACTAAGACTAATAACCCAAATAAATAAGTGTCTTGTATAATGTATGAACCTTGTTGTAGTTAAGTGACACTTGACACTTATGTCTTTCATATATTAGTGTGTACTGCCTTTTGATGGATTACGGTAATTAGAGCATAACTGTGAAGATACAGGTATTTTTGTACTATCTCTACGAAAAGATTCATGAAATTCAGGTAGGTGTGCTATCATTACCCACAATAACATACAGAAAAACATGTGTTTTCTATTGCCCCAGTCAGTGTATTATTAAAGGTCACATTAATCCTAAGTAACTCAATATGTCTCAGTGGACTATGACACATGAAATAGAATGTTTGTGTAATTCATTTTCTGTTTTTGACAGAGGCCATTGCCAACATGGATGATGATGGCATAATGATCGCCATCTATGACAACATTCATGATGAAGTGAGAGCTAAAAACAAACTTCTGGAGAAGGAAAAAAAGAAGGTAAACTGAATGCCTGTATCTTCCTGAGGCAAGGATGTTAAGTGACTATAAAAGTCCAGTTTCCACCTTTGCCGAACAACCCTGGAATTTCCAGGCTCGATTGTAGCGCCACAAGTGGCTATTACAAGTTAGTCCCTTCTATGTCCCTCCTACTGACCAGTCAGATTCCACTTGCATTCGCTTCAAACAAAATGGTGGCGACTTTTAGTCACTTAACACCCTTGCCTCGGGAAGATGGAATGTCTGGTGCATTTCAAGCCACTATGTAACTTCTACCTGATAAAGTTGATATATTTACTCTTAAAAACTTGTCAGATGAGATAGATTCACAATTTCTTTGACAAGATTAGCCATTTTGACGAATGCTACAGGTACATTTCTGGATCCAGGTGGGCATTTCTGTAAATATTCTGCGATCGCAGAGTACAGCGGGGACTAACTCAGCCTCTTGTATTTTGACAGATAGAGGCACTTGAGATTGAGATCACTGACCAGCGGTCTGAGTTTGAGTTTGACCGTATCGACTACCTTGACACCATCCGGAAACAGGAGAAGCAGATGCTGTTGATTCAGGCGCTTCTGGAACGTGTTCAGCCTTGTATACGGAAAGACTGTAACTATAGCAACCTGGATAGGGTCAAGATGACATGCAAGTGGGATGAAGACGGGCATAAGTGGGTCCTCCCCAAAATGACCATCGAGAAAACAGCACTGCCATCTAGTGGTCCTGGTGAGTGATTGGAGTTATCTGTCCTGATTTGGTGATTACAAAGTAGAAGTAGGTCCTTTGTGTGTAGTTTGAAGTTTTAGAAGTTTCAGCTTATTCAGTGTTAGAAATTGGCACCAGTTCTGTAGTCCTTGCCAAACCTGCCAATAGTTTAGGTATTATAAGGACTAGTATAAAATAGCAATTTTTAAGGGTTTTTCTATATGTTATAAGGACACGTGGACTAAAAATGTTAGTTTCTACCGCTGTTATTCATAACGATAATTATGTTATCCAAACATTAATGGGTACTCGAGTCAACAACTTTTTTGACCCATTGAAACCCAAATGGCATGTTATGACAAGCATTGATAAAAAACGACCCTCTTGTCTGTTGTCAGGTGGAGGGATGCCCGGGGCATCTGGCAGGGCCTACGACCCACGAGGACCAATGACAAATGGAGACTCGTATGAAGGGTTTGATGACCAGAGACTTAAAGAGGTGACTGAATTCAGACATTTGTGTGTGTGACATGAAAATTGAACTTAATTTTGTTTAAAAATGACTCCAAATTATTTTGATGACAATTCACAGCTACACCTCCCCTATGCATTTGAAAGAGGCCACTTATCTGTTTACCATCTGGGTGCCGGTGCACAAAAGCCATCTTAGCGCTAAGGTGATCATAAGTCCCATACATACATACACTTACGATCATCGTAGTGCTAAGATCGTGTGGAACAGGCCCTATAGTGTCAGAGCTGAGATGTAATCTCCATGTGGGAATGACTTAAGTTTGATGCCAGGCTTATATTTGATGCGACTTCTGTTACAGAAACTACGACAGAGTGAAGACATTTCCAGCTCGTACTTCCAGTCACGCCGCACTAGTCAGCTGATGCAGTCTCCAGATCCCGTCAACAAGATCAGTAAGTTCTCAAGTATAGGACAAATCAAGTTGGAAATATAACTGAAATATAACATCAACAGTATTCTTGTGTGTGGAAGCAGTGGTATTTTGTGTAAAATCAAGGGATTACAGATCAGCAACATGTGGTCAGCATACTCCCAGTGTTCCTCGTCCACTGATTGACACAAGGCAGTATCATATAACTCAACAAAAAATCAGGTGCCTAATCAGGATAAGTTGCATCATGAACAGTATGTTCTTGTCAAAATGGACCTGCTGTCGATGGACTGAGACAGGTGTACAGCTAATTTGATAAGTGGATTTTGTAATTTTTAAGGACATTGTGTCACTGTTGTGCTTCTTCTTATTCATCAGATATGCGTGAAATCCGTGACTCCTATGCCTCCAATGGGAACTCATTCTCACGAGCGGAGGAACCGGTCAGCCGGGAACTCCGAGCAGCCCAAGTTCACGGTCAACTACACAGTGATGAAGGTGTGTTTCGGCGACCAAATCGACTCGATGCTTTACCAACAGTCTCCGGGAAGAAGTCCAAGAAGAAGAAGGGAACCTATGATTATTGATGCTGGCTGTTTTGTAGAAACACTGAAAACTGGGTTCATCAGCCTTTTATCACTGTTGTCAGGGACTGATTTGAACTTATCAACTGATATTGAGTCCCATTTAAGATTGTTGAACATGATATGGATGATTGGGGTGGGGATGGCTCAGTGGTTTAAGTGCTAACATTTATGTGACAAGAGCTGCTTATAGTGGGTTTGAATCCAAGATATCATATTTGTCTATCACCTGTATGACATTTATTTATGCTGTCTGAAACTCACTGATTACTTGGTGCACAATGACAGGTTTTATTCACGGGTTCCATCACTTCTTCAGTTTACCTGTGTGTTCAGGTACTCTTTCAAAGTTGGCTCTGCAGAAGGAATATTTGCAAGGGAAATAATTTGTAGACCTTGATTGCTACAGTACTAGTCCCTTGTAATTCAATGTTTGAGACAGTAGACAGGTCTGAATACCAGACAAGTGACCCAGGTTGTGGCTGGTACACAGCATCTTCAGGAAGCTCCGTCCCTTACCCACTTTATATCATCGCTGCAACCTGAGTGCAAGTGGCCAAAACAAGAATTTTGAACATTTTCCCTCTTATGTGGTGACATTAATGACTTCACAGATGAATTTCGGTTTGTTCAATAAGATCAGTTGGAAATTGCAGAATAATGAAAATGCACCCTTGCATTCTTACTACAGGGTAGTTGAAATGGAAAATAAATTCAAATTGACAAATTACCTCTGGGAAGACGTCACCCCCTTAATTGTTTGAGTTGTGACAGTATGGAGAGGTGCACCTGAGATAATGCAGTTTGCTGTGCAGATATGTCACTTAGCTTATGGGTTCAAATATACGTAAGCACATTCCCATGCTTGTGGTAAAACAACTTTGACCTCAGTCACTTTGGGATTTTTTCCCACAGTGTGATGTTACTGAAAAACTGCTTTACGCAATGCTCACTCATCCACATACCATCTTTGTGGAGTCCTGTAGGTTTGACAGGAAGCTTACCACATCTTCATCTCGGAATTGTACTGAGATTTATGGATGCACCTAATGTGTTGAATGATGTTCCAGCACACATGTATTGATTTGTTGTGCCCTGGAGAATTGTTTCCCTATCTTCACTGTTTGTTATATCAAAGCATATTCATGTGATGTTCCTCGATACTTTTCACATTCCAAACACTTCTTTCCGTCCATTTTACACTGATTTTACACGATTTAAGCTTTCCATTGTTAAAGAATTGTTCTGATACGATGTGATCACTTTTATATGTGGACTATGCAATGTCTGTATGCGATAGTAACTTACAGTCTAGTCCTTGGTGTATAGAACACTGGAAGTGATACAATGTCCTTCTGCATCTGAATCTAAGGATGTTGTCATTTGCTATTGACCAGATATGTACGTATGAACCATGACTTGTACAGATGCCAGGTTGTTGGATAAAATTGATTCTACCCATGCACAAATGTGGAAAAAACATGACTGTCTCCGTGCCACTTACATCACCAAACACACAAAATGTTTTTGATTCAATTTATGATCATTTTAAGGGAGAGTTCAGATTGATAAATGTTAGAAGTAAAAGTGCTTTTAGAACGCCTTTTATTTTTTATTATGAGAAGGTTATGCTTCAAACCCGCATTTCTTTTATCCAAGTCTTGTTTAATATCTCAATTTCGGAACATCCCTTAAGGGGGTAACATTTAGAAGTTGGTGTAAAGGTAAACAAATTTTGTTTGAGAACTGAGCCATATGGTTTATTGATTTATCAAAAACATTGTTTACATAATGCATACTCATTTCATCCATAATGAATATGAACTGATCTGCAAACAATGGAAATACCTACTTACCTAAAAGCCAGTTAAGAGAATGCGCAAATCCAATGTTGAATACATTGAAGATGATAATACGGAGAATCAGCCATAATTCGAAAACAAACATTGGTTACTTGAGAAGAAATTGTTTATATTTGTTACTTTGTTGGTATTTCTCAAATGTTTTATATTTGTTAAAGATTTGGTTAAGGTTTAACCTACTTTTAATGTTTAATGTTAAAACCTACATCAATTTTTCCGTCCAGGTTTTTTAACTTTTCAAATATGTTGAGACCAACTGTTTATCTTAAAACTGGTGAACATGACACAAATTATACCATTGTAAATAGTCCTGATACTTGTTGTACCCCGTGGTATTCATCATCAATGTTATCTTTTATCGCTTATAAAATATAATTTCATATGTTCATTATTATCATCTACAATCATTTTTCCAATGCTTTAACTTATTTACGTGGTTTTAGGGTCTAAATAGGGTCACTCACATGAATCTCACATTCTCAACATGAATTGGTATTGAACATATTTCCATATCAAAGCTTTCTGTCTGTCATGATTCACCGACACAAGATTGTTTTTATTTGTTAAGAAATCATATGCTTCGCCCATTTTGGAATTATCTGATCTGCTATCAATATTTCTCCCTTGACAAGGGGCGATCGGGTAGCCTGGTGGTTAAAGCGTTCACTTGTCATGGCGAATCACCACTTGGGTACAATGTGTGAAGCCCATATTTGTGATACTGCTGCGTGAAACCATACTCACTCTCCCTTGACAAAACTGTTACCGTATATATCACTGATTATAATGCGAGCTTTTGGTACCAAGAGGGGGTTGTCCTGTGCACAGGGTAGAAGATCTCGCATGTCACCAGCTGTTTCAGGTTTCACTGCTGATGTCATCCCGCGTCGGAAGCAAGCTGGCACTGACGATTTTGTCTGAAAATACTACTACAACATTATAAATACCAGTTTGTGTGATATCCTTATCCATACCAAAAATATTTTCTGCAAAGCTAGCCCAAAGACAATCACAGATGAGGTATATTAGTTAGCACTGATTTGGATGGTTTCCACTGGGTTGTAGTGGGGTGTCACATTATAGGTGGGGATGTATTATAGACGGTGATATACGGTATATATTCTTGCCCAATGCCTTTACATTTCAGTCCTGTAAGAGGTGACTAACGGGATCGGGTGGTCAGGCTCACTGACTTGGTTGATGCATTTTATCGATCCCAATTGTGTGGATCGATGCTCAAGATATTAAGCACTGGATTGTCTGATCCAGACTCAATTATTTACAGACCGCCATCATATAGCTGGAATATTGCTGAATGCGATGTTAAACAACAAACCAACCAACATGTCTGTCCTCCCATGTATTCAAGAATTGTGATAACATTTATGTCTATAACATCTTTTTGGGGGGGATGAGTGCTTTAGCCGAGGTTTCAAATGTATGAATAAAAGGTGTTCACAAGATAAATGAACTGTGTATAGAAGTTTGAGAATTTAAGTAAAAACCTTCTGATTTATGCTTATTTTTTTTATTGACATCTATTCCTAGACTAGACTTCATGCCAAATGTTATACACCACAGAATGATCTGTATGCAGAGAATTTTCAATCAAAATAGTATGTTGTGTGTGATGTTGCCCGTCTGCCAAATGTTTATCTGTGAAAAAGAATTTTACTTATTCATTCATTCCCAGTTAAGTGATGGTGATGCCAGAGCAATGTTCCACTAAGATGGGTTATGATAGTCATCATGCTGGGATGACCTGGGACAGAATAGGTCCCCAGTCATCACGCTTGTTAAAGATTGAACTGAACTGGGGGTTGCTTGTCTACAACATCCCTTTCTGTTTTTGATGGTTTACAAAAATATAACGACGAAACAGAAGACATTTGTTCAAGAATGAACACTGGTTGAAACATTCCACTAATGGACCAAATTACATAATGCCAGAAAAAACTCACAAGAGTTCACTTTGTTATTGCTCACTCAAGTTATATTATATGTAATCTGTCTGGAAAGGTTATGCTAGTGTATGCTGGGATGTGGTGCATGTTTTATCACAATGTTTTATCATCGAAAACTGGCTTTGACAGGAAATATTGCTACAATGAAATGATGCTATACAGGCCATTGTGATGTCATCGGTTACCATGACATCAGAATCAAATGACATCACAAATCTCTGAAGCTGGTTAGCTGTACTTTTTACACTCAAGACACTGATACTAAAAAAGTAGGCAGAATGATTTTGGATGATGAATAGAATCTCATATCAAAAGACACTCAGGTAAAATAAAAATGGACAGATATATGAAAATAATATTATCTGTGTGACTTTATCATTGCAGTGTCACAACATTCCAGTTTAAACATTCTCACATTTTTTCAGAACCCTGGGCTCTTTAAGCTGAATTTCACAATCATTGGATATGATGTAATGTTAATGTATGTACAATGTTATTATGTGATATTTATGTAAATAGTACAAACAAGGCCATCCGTGAAGATCCGGGTTAGAATAGGTCTTCAGCAACCTATGCTTGCTGTAAGATGCGGCTTACAGGATCGGGTGGTCAGGCTCGCTGACTTGGTTGATGCATGACATTGTGTCCAAATTTGATGCTCATGATGTCAATTACTATTTTGTCTGGTCCAGACTTGATTGTTTACAGACCGCCGTCATATAGTTGGAATATTGCTGGGTGTGGCGTTACACAAAAACATAAAACAAAACAAACTAGGCAAATGAAAAGAATTGCTAAGATGCAAGTCAACGACCTATATCAGAATCACAGGGCTGCAGCCGGAATGTAGTTCTGGTGAGAATATCCTTGAAACTATATAAAGGCATATTGTGTTAGTTCAGATAGAAATTCCATATTTTGCGAGGGATTTTGCAATAATAGTGATATACTTATTGATTTGCTTAGACAGTTGAGAAGAGTATTTTTCAAGATGATTGTATTATTGTTTTTTCATTTGTATGATGTTGAGATTCACAATCTATACATTGTCTTTCATCACTGGCTGATCACATCATCATATGAGTTGTACACATTATTATGTTCCAGATGTTGATAAAAGTGTGAAGAAACTGGAGGTCTTTGTTATATTGTACTCTTAGATTCGTTTATGTTTACAGGTTTGTCAGCACCATACCCGTGTTTCACCAAAATGGTCAAGGTCCAAGAATTGCATCACATAGCTGGAATCAGAGCGGTGTTAAAAACCCAATCCATTCTCTCACTTTTAGATTCATTCTTGTCATAGGCAGTCACAGCAGTTTGCTGTTTTTAGACTGCACTCTGCAATATCCCAGCTAAGGAATCGAGTCTGGACCACACAATCTAGTGACCGACGTCATGAGCTTACATATTTGAAATTGGGATATGATGACATGCATGACCAAGTCAGCTAGCCTGACCACCCAATCCGATAGCCTCATACAACAGGCATGGGTTGCTAAATTCTGACCAGAGCTTCATGGGGGTACCCAGATAATGTATATAACATATATACTCTTAAAAAGAAGTAGAGGATACCCAGAAATAACTTGAAATGTCCCGATATTTAATACGTTATAAAACGATATAATAGTTTCTAGTAAAAATTATAGCCTGGTGCAAACTCCACATGTTCTGCTTTTTTATCATACCAGGTTTTCATCTCTTGGCTAACCTGCAAGCTTTTTCTTTGGGATGCTGCAAGCCTTAATAAACCTTAATTACTTTGAAACATAATCTAGCAAACTGATTTTCATGTCCTCATCTTACTACTACTCCTTTAGGGATTTTAATCGTCCTCCAACTGTACGTCCAAATGCCAACTCAAAAGGACTGAAACCCAGTGTACAGATTCACCAGCTGCAAACAACATGTATGGATCCCATCATCCCAATCTTTCTGTTTGTCCTCACAAGAAAAACTTAAGCATGTTCTTCAGAGTACACCGTGTGACTCAGGATGAGGGGCACTGGAACTGTACTGAGTAATACCCAACCCATTCACAACCTGTCGAAATATCCCAGACAAAGTTAGATCCCTGATCTCATTGGATGGACTTTGGTAACCCAACTAGCGTGAAGGACGCAATTAAAGCCTTAATAATGAGAGGAGCCTTAATATTCCTCAATGGAATAGCTTCTGGAACACGTGATTATTGTCAACAAATTGACATTTACTGTCCAAGTACGAGGGCAAGGTCCAACCCTGCTGAATGGTTATTCAAGTGTTGGAATTGTCTGCAAAGGATATCGTGTGATCTTCTGATTTGGTTTAACCAACCATCTGACAAGTGAGACATTTTCTAAAGACTTTTTGTCATCATTTTGAACTCCTGACCAACAGAAATGAGTCAAGATCTTTTGATAGTCAGAATGTCAGACTCAGCTTTCTGTTGAGTCATAGTTCTAGTAGCAGTACGTGAAGGTTACATTTACACTCTTCCCTCTCTTCCTGTTTTGCACATGATACATCACTGGCTTCAGGAAGATCAGATACAACCTTATCTTCTGCAATATCATTGCGATAAACGATATGAACGAACTGGCCTTAAAATCAATCAGACTGACATTACTGTATTATTCGCCTGAGGAGAACTATCTGCCAAGTGACACCTGGTTGTTGCTAGGACCTCCAAATGATGACTGGGAAAATCTATGACCTGCCATTTTACGACCTCTAACATTTGACCATGGATAATTAATCCCTGTAGCATTTGACTGACTTTAGAACTAAACCTTCCCCCAAGATAAACTGCATTTTGCAATGAAGCTTTATGTGCAAGTAGATAGTCATCTGCTGGAGTAGTTGTTTGCACTTATGGTTAAGTCTTTTGTTCATTCAAATAAGTTTTAATGTCACATAGAATTCACCTTTTGAACTCCTCATCTGGCGTAGGCTGCTTCAACTTCTAACAATCCTTCTTTATCTCTTTGGAGGAACACCATCTATCAAACATCATAACCTTGTATCTGGCAAACCCAACATAAATCTGTTGTTATGCTTTTTGCAGACTCTAAACTTTAGCCGATAGGCCTCAGCTTTCAATAGGATACTGTCAACCACCTCGTAATCAGAGCTCTGCTCAATGGATGTAACCAACCCCCCACCCACCAGAGATTGATTTATTTATACTTTATTAGGTCATTTATGCTAAAGCGATGTAAACCATTATATATGCCTATCAAAGACTTCGCAGAAACCGTGCTTGTATAAATTTTGTTGGCTTCCTTTGGATATGGCTGACACAGCCTACCCACATGTGTGATTCGAGTTGCTAAGCGAAATCAGTATACACGTCCCTGATATGCTGCCGATTGGTGCGAGTAGTGATTCAACTTGGATTGGAATTGACACTTATTGAGGTTAACTAATCTGCATAAGCACCGGTTACGTGTTCTTTCATAATGGGATTATCAGAGGATAGTAATTGACACAACTGTTCCCAAGACTTATTTATTCATAAAACTATACAATGACAAAAAAATCATGATAATATACATGTGTGTCTGTCTCAACAGTACAAGTCATCTTCTGGAATCCTGCCAGTTTTCGGTTTTTGATCAAGCGTGTGCCTGTTGGAGACTTAAAAGGGATTAACTTTGGACCACTGTCGTGGTGAATTTACTGCACTAAATTTATCGTGAAAGAACGGGGTAGCGTTCTGCAGAGATCCATCATTCATCGCTGACGTGATGACGCCAGGTCTTTGGGACCCTACCCACACATTGTCCATCTGGTAGCAGCAGTTGATGGCTGAGGTGTCGAATTGGTTGCCCGGTTCTTGGTGAATCTTCATCATGTTCAACGGCAAGGCGATTGGTGGTTATACCCGGAAAGCATGATATCTGCAGAATAAAAAAGACATGTCGATTTCATCCAATTGATGAATACCTGTTTTTCAGTTATTTCGAATACATCGAATGCTGTGTGTATAGCTGTTTGTAGACCATTTATGAAAATTTATGATATCTTTGAACGGTTGCATGTTCCACAAGTGTGGGTTTCATCTTTACTTCGCAAGCCTCAGAACTGTCGAGTCACCATTAGGGTAAGTCGAGTTGTTTCGGCATATGTTATATTCCCAAATCCCGTCGAATCAATGACATCAACTATTATCAGTAGTATATTTGTTGTAGCATAACACGTCATCCGTCTAACGTTTGCGGTTACACGCATGCGCTTTTAAAATAAAGTTTGGTAGCGGAATAGAAATTGAACTAGTACGCTGCTACAGTTCCTTACTTACCCATAAATTGTGGAAAATACCACTACAGGATACACCGACGCGTGTGTAGTGACTGGAAAAACTTCGAATCCCCATCCAGTAGGTCCACGGAAAGAATGCACATATTGAACTAAGGACGAAAACCTTTTCGTCAGCAGATCCATAACTTTAGTCTAGTGTGGATGAATAAACGGTTATGCTCACGCTTGACAAATCTAAATATGACGAATGAATTAACAATTGTTGAACAGTTACATTAATTTACATGACATCAACCACTACGTCGTGCATGGATATTTGTTCATAAAATAGTAATTGCTAAACGGTAACAACATATATTCAATATGAAACAGCACGGATCTACATGTGATGCAGGTGATTAAAATCGCTTAGTTGTGGGCATAGTCTGACCACCGACTGGCTCACACTGGCTAATCCCCTTCTGATCGATCAATATACAACTGTATCGTGTTAAAATATGCACTCGTCTATATTTATATTATTTCAGACATTGTCATGTTACTGATAATACGGGATTAAATACGAAATGCTATACATTATCATTGCCTGTTTTCAATTGTGTTCATACAAGAACATAATTCAATTTCGTCTGCTGTCATTACACCACCAGTTAAAAAATTATATGGGAGGGGGCATCAATTGGTGCGGGAATCGTATATAGGTCACTTTCGGGTCTCTCGAGGGGATACGTATAAATAGTAATCCTCCAGACTTTTACAAACGAAATATATTTTATACTGTTAGCACCTTCTTTGTTTTTAACGAGCCTACTATCAAAGTTCTTGCAGCAAATACTGTGCTATAGTTAATCACTGTCACTGTCACTGTCCCTGTGTAATTGAGGCTGTAATTTGAGAACACGGTACCAGCACCAATTGCCTTCAGTTGTATATTGTCGTTTAACAACGCGCATTTTGATAGGCTGACTGTTGACACGTGAGCAGCCAAGCTCAGGTATTAACCGTTCGCTATCGTAAACATTGTCGTTGACAATACACACGGGTTCTCTCTATACCCGTTATTTCGTTATAAGCGCTTTCATCATTGTAGTATCTATTCTATTCTCATCACTTTATTATGAGGACAACAAAACGCGGGTCAGTCGTCTCGCCGGCGCCTCTTCAATTAGATCGCGTAATCACAAGATGCAAATTAGCATAACACCGGAAATCCTGTTATTACACGATTGAATATTCCATTCAATACTTTTCAGATATACGAATCGTGCATCAATGAACGGATTTATTTCCAGAAACACAGCTGACGAACAGGTAGATGTGAGCTGATTGCTATTTCCGGCCTATAATTTACGAGAAAATACATGCGGTATTTTTAATATCTGCATATAAAACAATGCCAAGCAGAACAGAAAATATAGGATACTGCGCATAATATGATAATGATCGTGTATACACTAATCGACAACAAAAACACGTCAATGTGGCTGCTGCTCAGATAGGTGTCGTTTGGCGCAGCAAGAATAGAGCGAACCGCAATCAGGCGGATTTATCATGATGACTAAGCGTTTCTCCACTGCCACAAAAGGCTAAATTGTATATCACGTGATCGGACATTTTGATAGTTTTTCTTGTTATATCGCCGAGGAACAATTATCGCTAACCGTTATAGCGCGCACGTGGTTGCATCTCATTTTAGTTTTGAGAGTCTTAGTTTTCATAAGAGGAGAGAAATATTTATCCGAAAACAATGATCAAAAGGACTCTTGTGCGGAAATATTTTTCAAAACCCGCCATAATCACCTTGCTCAATATCTTCAATATCCTATCTTCCTCAAAATACAATTCTGAAATCTATTTGAGGTACACATAGGGATAAGCAAGATCGAATTT